ATACGTGGATGAATTTCGCATGGAAATCGTGCGAGCTGGTTTACCCCAATGGCCTGTGTTGAGATTATTGCTATTCATTTCTATGAATAGAATCACTGGGTGTTTATCCTGGCCATGGCGTTTTTTTTTTTGCAGCTTTCGATCATTTCTGCCTCCCATCGAAATGCATCAGCCCCTCCCAATCGTAAAAAAAAAAATGCAGCTTTCTGCAACGAAACGACCTTGTTTTATTGTGGATTTGGGAAACACAGGGATGCTGATGCGAGAACAATAACCTGAATAACACAATTCGCCTTTTGTCCTTCATCTGTCAATGCATCTCCCCATTCGCCTCCTTTGCATCAAAAGAGGTTTCCCTGCAGGGTCTGGGGAGGGGAACCCAAATAAACCATGGAACCCAATTTAAAAAAACAACAGCAAATGAATTGCAGGTCATTTGGGATAAACGATCGATTATTGTGCATCGTTTTATTGTGTGTTTGTTGACCCGTTGATATAATGGGAGCAGCCCAGTCCCACCCCCCCCCCCCCCCCCACCCCCACCCTGGATTCTGTCTGGAAGCAGCATTTCATTTCCATTTCATCACCATTGGGTTAACAGATGCCCCTATTTATCGCAATAGCAAATGCCCCTCCACACCGGGATCGGTGCTTTTTGTTTCTTTTTTTATATATATATGTAATTTTTTTAAAAAAAAAATGATGCCCACGGTAGGAATTTGAACCTATTTTGCACGAAAGAAAATGCAGATGCAGATCGATCGATTATCTTTAAAACTAGAGCCATCGCCCCCACCCCCCCCCCCCCCCCCTATGCCTCCCTTCCTGTCTCATCTGCCTGACTCCACAGACGGCCATGGCTGCAGAGCTACTCCCCAGACCATTCTGCACACCTCCCCTCTCGTCCTTCTCTCTCTCTCTCTCCCCTTTTCTCTCTCTGTCTGTGTGTGTGTGTGTGTGTGTCTTTCTCTTTCGATGCAGTGGGGATCAATCGCTGGACAAAACAACCACTGCTTTCTTTTTTTATTCTCCCCCCACAAAGATCTGACCTCTCCAAAAACATGCACATTTCATCACACACACACAGACAAACACACACACAGACAGACACACACACACACACAGACACACACACACAGAGACACACACACACAGACACACACACAGAGACAGACACACACACAGACACACACACACAGAGACACACACCACACAGAGACACACCACACAGAGACACACACACAGAGACACACACACACAGAGACACACACACACACAGACACACACACAGACACACACACACAGAGACACACACCACACAGAGACACACCACACAGAGACACACACACAGAGACACACAGACACACACACACAGAGACACACACCACACAGAGACACACCACACAGAGACACACACATCACACAGAGACACACACACACACAGATCACAGAGACACACACACAGAGACACACACACAGACACACACACCACACAGAGACACACACACAGAGACACACAGAGACACACCACACACACAGGGAGCGCGTCGCTTCTCCACAGAGAAAGGATCTTACCGAGATGCGGGCTCTGTCCTTCTCGCCTTGGTGTTGGTAGGACATGTTTGCTGTGATTTTAGTGTCAAGAGCAGAGGCTGAGGTCGGGTTTCCAGCTCTACACTGGCTGGACGGCCGTTACCTTTGAAGTATGCCCGATTTTTTTTAACCCCCCCCCAAAAAAAAACCCCACAAATATTTATTGCTGAATTTGCTGAATTGGGTGGAGGTGTGAGAGAGTGAGTGAGTGAGAGTGAGAGAGAGAGAGAGAGAAGTGAGTGAATGAGAGTGAGAGGGGCTGTTAACAGAAGGATGTGTGAGTCTGCAGCCGTCTGGACAGAGTTGGGAGCACAGCTCCTTCTAGAGGCCAAACAGCTTTATATATTTTTATTTCCCCCCCCACCCCCCAAAAAAAATGTTCTCCTAAAATCCTGTTACCTCAGGAAGCACTTTCCATTCACCCAGACAGTTATCCCTGAGGTTACGAAATGCACCAGCACCGCCCCCCCCCCCCAGTTTGACTCAAAAAGGGGCGATCAAGGGGCATATTTGTTTCATTTCCAACATGATTCCAGAGATGAACCCCCCCTCTCCCCCCCACAGGACCACAGAACTGGGTTGAGGCTGATGAAACTCGAGAAACGTGTCAAAAATGATGGATAAAACACAGTACCTAACCACTGAGTTACTGCTTTACAGTGCAATGAGGTCATTGCACAAGGTGCTCAGATAAAAAAGCATCAGTTGTTTTTAATCTACTAAGTCATATATATATATATATATAATATACATACATTATTATAATTACTTTGTTCCCTGCGCTGTTATTTGAAAATAATAATTATAATATCCAAATGAATATCCTTTTGTATACGAAACCATCGGTGCAAAGATATGGATTTTATAAAAAAAACACTCCCTCTCATTTAAAAAAAAACGCCAGGAGCTGGATGCAGAGAACGAAAAAACTTGAGAGGAAGAATAGAGACAAGTTGCAGACTGATACTGCTTTATAGGGAGGGGTGGGGGGGCAGTAGATGAAAAATGGTAGCTGTACAGGTGATCTATGCAGCAGAGCAGGAGCCTTGTTCAGAGTGCTGTGTCTGTCTGCCTTCAACAGTTTGCTGTCTGGCTGCCTTGAACAGTGTGCTGTGTGAACAGTGTGCTGTGTGAACAGTGTGCTGTGTGAACAGTGTGCTGTGTGAACAGTGTGCTGTGCCTGACTGCCTTGAACCGTGTGCTGTGTTGTGTGAACAGTGTGCTGTGTTGTATGAACAGTGTGCTGTGTTGTGTGAACAGTGTGCTGTGCCTGACTGCCTTGAACAGTGTGCTGTGTTGTGTGAACAGTGTGCTGTGTCTGACTGCCTTGAACAGTGTGCTGTGCCTGACTGCCTTGAACAGTGTGCTGTGTTGTATGAACAGTGTGCTGTGCCTGACTGCCTTGAACAGTGTGCTGTGTTGTGTGAACAGTGTGCTGTGCCTGACTGCCTTGAACAGTGTGCTGTGTTGTGTGAACAGTGTGCTGTGTCTGACTGCCTTGAACAGTGTGCTGTGTCTGACTGCCTTGAACAGTGTGCTGTGTTGTATGAACAGTGTGCTGTGTTGTATGAATAGTGTGCTGTGTCTGACTGCCTTGAACAGTGTGCTGTGCCTGACTGCCTTGAACAGTGTGCTGTGTTGTGTGAACAGTGTGCTGTGCCTGACTGCCTTGAACAGTGTGCTGTGTTGTGTGAACAGTGTGCTGTGTCTGACTGCCTTGAACAGTGTACTGTGTGAACAGTGCGCTGCGGTGTGTGAACAGTGCGCTGCGGTGTGTGAACAGTGCGCTGCGGTGTGTGAACAGTGCGCTGTGGTGTGTGAACAGTGCGCTGTGGTGTGTAAACAGTGCGCTGTGGTGTGTGAACAGTGCGCTGTGGTGTGTGAACAGTGCGCTGTGGTGTGTGAACAGTGCGCTGAGGTGTGTGAACAGTGCGCTGTGGTGTGTGAACAGTGCGCTGCGGTGTGTGAACAGTGCGCTGCGGTGTGTGAACAGTGCGCTGTGGTGTGTGAACAGTGCGCTGCGGTGTGTGAACAGTGCGCTGCGGTGTGTGAACAGTGCGCTGCGGTGTGTGAACAGTGCGCTGTGGTGTGTGAACAGTGCGCTGTGTCTGACTGCTGTGTTGAACCCAAGTGAGACTGACTGACTGACCGACTGACTGCGGCAGCGGCTGTTTGGGTGACAATTTTAAAACCCACAGCAGCAGCTCCTGCGCAGCTCATCTCATCTCAGCTCCAATACAGTTCAGGGCCGAACAAAAGAACAGGTCCACATGAAAGTAGCGCATTGACAACTAGAGAATGAGCCTTCACCCCCTCCCCACAGCCTCTTTGTGCTCCTTTTAATGATAAATCCTCCTCCCCCTCCCCCACGGTGAGGCTGAAATGCGACATGAATTGTGCGCACTTACAGCCACACTCATATACACATACACTACATATACACATATATATACACAGACATGTAGCTAAACGATCACACATATACTATATATACATACACACACACATACACAAACATATATATGCACACACATACATACACAAACATATATGCATATGCACACACACACATACATATATATATATCTATTGTGCACAGAAACATATATAAACACAAATGCAAATTCACACACACACACATACATATATATATACACACACACGCAGACAGACGCGCACTGCTGTTGAAACAAGTTTTTTTTTCTTTTGGAAGTGTTGTTACAGTTTGCCCCACGAATCATAATCCGAAAGATACACTTTTTTTAAATATTTTTTTTAAAAAGAATAAAAAGATAATAAGGGGTGTGTGTGTGTGTGTGGGGGGGTGGGGTGATGGGGAGGTTGTTGGGTGGGGTGGGGGGGGTGGGTGGTGAGGTTGTTGGGTGGGGTGGGGGGTGGATGGGGAGGTTGTTGAGTGGGGTGGGGGTGGGAGGTTGTTGAGTGGGGGTGATGGGGAGGTTGTGGGGTGGGGGGTGGATGGAGGATGGGGAGGTTGTGGGTGGGGGGTGGATGGGGAGGTTGTGGGGTGGGGGGTGGATGGGGAGGTTGTGGGGTGGGGGGTGGATGGGGAGTTGTGGGAGGGGTGGATGGGGAGGTTGTGGGGTGAGGGGGTGGATGGAGGATGGGGAGGTTGTGGGGGGGGGGTGGATGGGGAGGTTGTTGAGTGGGGGGGGGTGGATGGTGGATGGGGAGGTTGTGGGGTGGGGGGGTGGGGAGGTTGTTGAGTGGGGTGGGGGGTGGGGTAGTGGGGAGGTTGTTGGGTGAGGGGGTGGATGGTGGATGGTGAGGTTGTTGAGTGGGGTGAGGGGGTGGATGGAGGATGGGGAGGTTGTGGGGTGGGGGTGAGGTTATTGAGTGAGAAGCGAGCGCCTGTGTGCCCCCCCCACCCCACCCCTTGACGCCATTACCTTGCCCGGCGCCCAGCCCGGGGGCAGCCCCTTGCCCGAGGCGGGCCTGATCTCCAGGGGGGCCCTCTCCTCCCTCTCGCTGGGGGAGCTGACCACCGAGCCCGAGACCTCGCTGGCGTCGCTGGCGCTCTCGCTCAGTCCGTCTGACTCCGGGGACAGGGGGTCCCGAGGAGTGCCGCCCCTCCTCCCGGGCCCGGAGCTGCGCCGACCCGCGCTGCAGGCGTCGAAGTCGATGGTCTTACTCTCGTAGGCGCCCTCCACCGTACAGAACATACCGCCGCGCTTCTGCCGCGGGGTCTGGGCCGCGCCGCCCGGTCTGGCCAGGTACACCGGCAGCTCGGCAGCCCCGGCACAGCGGCTCCTGCTCTCCGACATCGGAAATTTTTTTCTCCCCCCCGAGGGCGCACACAGAAGAAGTCGTCGTCGTCGTCGTCTCCTGACGCAGACACAGACAGACACGCAGACAGACAGAGAGGGAGACACAGAGAGAGAGAGACACAGAGAGAGAGAGACACAGAGAGACACACAGAGAGAGACAGACACAGAGAGAGACACAGAGAGAGAGAGACACAGAGAGAGACACACAGAGAGAGACACACAGAGAGAGAGACACAGAGAGAGAGAGACACAGAGAGAGACAGAGAGAGAGAGACACAGAGAGAGAGACAGAGAGAGAGACAGACACAGAGAGAGACAGAGAGAGAGAGACACAGAGAGAGACACAGAGACACAGAGAGAGACAGAGAGAGAGAGACACAGAGAGAGACACCGAGAGAGACACACACAGAGAGAGACACACACAGAGAGAGACACAGACAGAGACACAGAGAGAGAGACAGAGAGAAAGAGACACAGAGAGAGACAGACACAGAGAGAGACAGACACAGAGAGAGACAGAGAGAGAGAGACACAGAGAGAGACACAGAGACACACAGAGAGAGACAGAGACAGAGACACAAGAGAGAGACACAGAGAGACACACAGAGAGACACACACAGACAGAGAGACAGAGAGAGACACACACAGAGAGACAGACACAGAGAGAGAGAAACACCGAGAGAGACAGAGAGAGAGAGACACAGAGAGAGACGCACAGAGAGAGACACAGAGACACAGAGAGAGAGACAGAGACACAAGAGAGAGACACAGAGAGAGACACAGAGAGACACAGAGACACAGAGAGAGAGACAGAGACACAAGAGAGAGACACACAGAGAGACACACACAGACAGAGAGAGAGAGAGAGAGACACACAGAGAGAGACACAGAGAGAGATAAGGCTACAAAAGCGGATCGAATCCACTCCAACTCAACTCAAGTCTATTCTCTCCCCCTCCCCTTTTTCTTTCTTTCTTTCTTTCTCTCTCTCTCTCTCTGTCGGTCTCACTCACTCACTCACTTTCTCCCCCTCACACACACACACACACACACAAACACAGGGAGCTGATGGATCTGAGCCAAGATCTGTCCAGTCAATGAATGGGCTGATGGCTGGAGAATTGGTGCACATCAACTGACACGGAAGCGATAGAGTCTGCACGTTACATACATTTCGCACACACACACACACACAAAAAAAAGTATCCCTCGTTGGATGCAATGGGCTGAGGCTGTCTGACTTGACTTCAGTTCCTCCCTTAGAGGAGGAGCGTTGCAATGAATTATTAGCGGGAGGGTGAGCCAGGGAGGGAGTGGAGGGAGGGGAGGGGGGGAGGGAGGGGAGGGAGGGGAGGGGTGGGAGGGAGGGAGGGGAGGGGTGGGAGGGAGGGAGGGAGGGGAGGGGAGGGGAGGGGAGGGGAGGGAGGGAGGGAGGGGAGGGGAGCGGGGGGGGGAGGGAGGGAGGGAGGGAGGGAGGGGAGGGGTGGGAGGGAGGGGAGGGGAGGGGGAGGGAGGGAGGGAGGGAGGGGAGGGAGGGAGGGAGGGGAGGGAGGGAGTGGACCTGCTGAAAGCATCTCGACTGAAACGATCAGTCAAAGCCCACCCTGGGAAGCTGCCCCCGGTTGATCTGACTTTAGCTCATGATGAGCTGTCCTTTCAGCACCTCCTCGTCCAAAAACATTGGCACACAACACACACCCACACACACACACAACACGCCAGCTTCATAATAATAATAATAATAATAATAATCCTTGCATTTGATATAGCGCTTTTCACGTCGGGAGGACGTCCCAAAGCGCTTCGCAGGACGCACTGTAAAGCGAATCGACTGTATGTTTGTGGGCGAAGGCGGCAGCCAATTGCGCACAGCAATGTCCCACAAACAGTCGTAGATTGAAAATGACCAATTTATTGTTGTTTTGGGTTTTTGGAGGGATATTATTAGGCTCTGTGTGGAGTAAGGAAACTTGCCCAAGGTTTCGCCCTCTGCCTGGAATTGAACTCAGGTCTCTCACTTGCAAAGCGAATGCTCCAACCACTGAGCTACAGGACTCCTGTCATGGCTGATGACAGCACAAGCCACCCTGGCTCAAGGGCAGACCAGTCAGTAGGGGGCAGGGAGTCATCCCACTCGGCTCCTCTTAACCCCGCAAGCACAAGCCCTAAATGAGTAAGAAGGTGGTCCTAGCTGGACAAGTAGCGGAAAAAGCTGGCCGGTGATACAGTGGAGTCCTGTAGCTCGGTGGTTAGAGCACTCGTCTCGCAAGCGAGAGACCTGGGTTCGATTTCCGGCAGGGAGAAATGTTGGGCAAGGTTGCTTACTCCACACGCGCCTCTGTTTACCTCACAGTAAGTAGGAACCCGGTTGTTAATCGATGGCGGATCGCTTTTCTGGGGGGTAATAAATCCTTAAAAAACAAAATTGGTCACTTTAATCCACTACTATTTGTGGGACACTGCTGTGTATAATTGGCTGCCATGTTTCGCTCACAAAATATACAGTCAATTCACTTTACAGTATAGTGTGTGAAGCGCTTTGAGATGTCTTGAACACTTGATAAGGCGTTATATCAAATGGAAGGATTATTATTATTCCCTGGGTTCTCCCTCAGACTCACCGAACCTGTGCTCACCTGAGGTGTCCAGTGCGACTCCCAGCTGTCCTTCCTCCCCCACATCTGGTCCCTGACCAGGACTGCCTTTGTCCACCTCCGCCACATTGCCCACCTCCGACTGTACCTTACCCCGAATGCAGCCGAAATCCTCGTGCATGCGTTTGTCACCTCCTGCTTGGAATACTCCAATGCACTTGTCACCGGTCTCCCCAGCTCTACCTTTCAAAAGATCCTGCTCATTCAAAACACTGCTGCCCACATACTGACCCGGACCAAACTCCGTACCCACATCTCACCAGTTCTGGCCAGGCTCCACTGGTTCCCCATCACCGAACGGATCGACTTCAAGATCCTCACACTCAAATCCCTTCACTCCCTGGCACCTCACTACCTCTCCTCACTCCTCACTCCCCAATCCACCACCCGGCGCCTCTGCTCGACCATCACTGGCCTCCTGCTCGTCCCTCGTACCCTCTGCCTCACCATCAGAGGCCTTGCTTTCAAGCCACTACACTACAAAACACTGGAACGCTCTCCCTCAATCCCTCCACCAGGCTCCGTCACTGTGTAAGTACTCTGAGATGCTAATCTGCATGTCAAGTTGTGTTATTATTATCAATGGCAAGCTATGCAGTTTTAGCTGGTTAGACTCCAGCAGTACCCCCAACGCACAGTCTGGGGTCCCCAAGCCTTGGCTCTTGCCAACTCTCCAGGGAGAGAGTGCGCATTCTATTCCAATAATCCATCTCCGGGATTTCCATATATAGGTAAAATGCATGGAACTCGCAGTTTTGTTCAGATAGTCTTAAGCATAGGTTTCCGCATGTGTCAAACACCCGGCTGACTAAAAAACTCCCATTACAAAACACTGACACGCATGTCAGGCAGATTTAAATTAGGGTCAGTGGACTTTTCCTCTCTCCCTTGAGGTATAATTCTTGCAACTTTTGATCAACTTATTTGAAAGTTTTTTTGGTAAAAGGCATTTCTTACTTGTAAATATGATTTTAAATGGCTGCCGTATTTCACCCACAAAACACAGTTAATCCACTTTACAGTATGTCCTGTGAAGCGCTTTGAGATGTCTCGACGCTGTGATAAAGTGCTATATGAAATGCAAGTATTATTATTATCACATAAATAGAAGCTATATGTGCCCTTTTTGTTTTGTCAGATAAGTGTCGCATGTGAAAATCATCCCTATGCTTAAGAGTGTCCAAACCAAACAGAGTTCCATGCATCTCATCTATGCATGGAAATTTCAGCTAATAAAATAGAAATTCAAAGAATTGTTCCTGAATAGGGGAACTCGTCACATATATTGTTAAAAGAATTAACAAGGCAAAATTGTCATGGCTTTATGCGGCCAAAAATATGTTACAATTGATTTCCCTTTTGAAAAAGGTTAAGTGAAACCCTTTAGCCTAAACTACCAAAACAAGGTTGCATCTTAGTGACAGAAAATGAATGCTGAATGCCCAACAAATTGAAATAAATCCTGACCCTGTCTAAAAACACTGACCTCTATCCTTAAATTTGCTTTGGCACCTTTCATGTCAGGAGGACAGCCCAAAATGCTTCACAGGATTTACTGTGACGTGACTAGAATTGTTAGTGAAGGAGGCAGCCCGATTTCTGCACAGGAATGTCCAACAGTGTCTAACAGGAAGGTTAATTATCATGTCTCATGTTACCCCAAATATTCATTGTTGTTATTAGTTGTAAAGTTTTTACTTATCTCTTACCTCAGAGTCAAAAGACAGTGGGTTTGAACTCATATAGTCTAGACTGATACAATACAAAAATACATTTGTACAACGCCTTTCACATCGAGAGGACAATGATACTTTCATACAGTGCTGGGAGAGCACTGCATTGTTGGAGGAGTCGTCCTTTGAATGAGATTTTAATCTAAGGTCCCATACGACTGTTCAAGTGGATGTTAAAGATCCCACTATTGAAAAAGAGAAGGGAGTTTCTTCCAGTCACTCACTCCATGGCTGTTTATGGGACATTGCTGTCACACAACTGGCTGCCATGTTTCGCTCACAAAATACAGTCAAAAACCACTTTACAGTAAATCCTGTGCAGCGTTTTGAGATATCTCGATGACGTGAAAGGCACTACATCAAACGTAAGGTTTATACCATTAGCGTAGGCCAGAATCCTTCCTCCTTTGCAGTGGCTTCCTTTTTTGCCATAAATCCAACTCACAGCTCATTCCTGGACTTCGGAAATGGGCTGGAGGATCACCAGGAGTTCAGAACCACAGTGGATACCCGTTTGCACGCAGGTCTTATACACTACAAGGTTGACTGCATTGGGACCTTGTTGTCCTTGAAGAGAGACGAGCATAACCAGAGTGCCCTACTCTGCAGAATTCTTTACAATGTCTAATAACTCTTAAAGAAATTATGATATATTTTGTTAGAGAATAAGATAGCTTCATGACTTTTTGGTCACCCTATACTTATAAGAATCATCAATTGGGACTGATGCCCTTTGTACCTTCCAGTCAATACACTCAATTTTTTTTCCTGAGCTGTGCAGAGCCATGATTCCGCACTTGGGGGCAACCAAAATCATGTCGCACTGGGTGGCCCAGTGTTCAACACAGTGAGTGCAGCGCATAAGATCTCCAGCTGAGTCCACATTAGCACAAAATCATCCGCAAACAGAAATCCCATAATCCTGTCGGAAAGGCCTGGAACAGATACATCAAGTCCACCCCCACTCAATACATCGAATAGGGTGGGATGACAATGGGCAGCCTCCCATACATGTTTACACATATACAAATCATGTTGTGGTGCTCACTCACTTGGCATTTCAGAGGATGGAATCAATAGGCCAAACAGAAGTGAAATCCTAAACAAAATCTGGGAACTAAATCGCAACAAGGAAAGCGATTCCATTTCATTTTAATATAAAATGCATACATTATACAATATACAAATGTATCGAAATCATTTACATGTGACCAGCATATAAAAATAACCTTACAATTTTATTAACAAGTAAATCAACAAGTTTAAGTAACTTTTTCCACGTTATTTGATAAACATCTTATAAATGTGTGATGTACAGCCATTTAGTAAACATTGGTAACTACAATACGTGTATTTAATAATCTGTACATTGGAAATCTGGTGACAGACTTCTCTTACACTTCTATTGTTTAATAAAGTGCACATCTAAACTCTACTCCATTATGTTTCCTCCTTTTTTGCAAGGCATTTGCAGACTAAGAAAAAATGTTCACCACCGAGCCTTATAGAGAAACTCTATAACAATCGATGATATCTAACTCAAGAAGATTTTGCTCTGGAGAGACAAAACCAAACCATTTTGGCTTGTGCAGAAACTAGTATTGGTATATTTGCTTCCTCTCTGCCCCCATAAGGCACTAAAGGATTTATAAAGTGTCAGAAACAAATTTAAAACCTAGTTGAATTGTGTGTGTAAGGATACCTGTTTTTGTCCCATTGGAAAAGAAATGAAGAAAAGATGTGGGTATTGTTTCTTGTAGGCTGGTATTTATGTAAATGGATTAAAGTTTAGATCTGCTGTTTGTCACAAGGCCACAGTACAATATCAACGACTCATGCACTGCAGTTTTTTTTAAATCAACAAACATTACAAAGTTTCAGAAGAAAGGGAGTGCAAAGGGACTCTTCAATTGGATCCATTTCCTCATTTGAGCAAAATTACTATGTCTCATGCAACAAAAAAAATCACTGAATGCTCTTGGATTATCCACAATATTGTTCAGTGAAAGCTCAAAGTTACTGGCAAATTTATTTGTGAAATCAAATCACCCCCATCTACTTTACTAGTGATTAAATAGTACAGAGCATAACGCATATGCATCAACATTAACAGTGTTTAACAGTATCGGCAGAAAGGGAATTGTGTCAATTGAGGGAAAACATCTGGTCTAAACCATTAGAGGCTCCTAATGTTAGTAGTACCACAACAAGAACCAAGCGAATCAAGGGACTGGGATGATATCAAATATTTCCAAGTTTAATAATTCACAGATTTTGGTATCGAGTACCTCGGAGAAGACGGAAGGAATAATGTTCTAATATTTTTAGGTAAGACTTTCACACTCAAGTAAGACCCACCAGTATTGGAGGCTTTACCCTCCAACCTTTACAGGATTGATAAATGCAGTAGCAACTAAAGGACTGACCCCGTTGTGACCAATTCTCATTGTTTTGTGGGAAGCAAATTTCTGTCAAGAACAAATTTAGGAAGAATTACACTCCCACGACACCTCAAAAGTTGTCAGTGCAGTCTCTTTCTTTCTTCAAAAATAAATTCAAAGTATTTATTTTTCTTCTTCAGGTGCAATAGACAATGAAAAGTGCAAACAAGTAGTCTCATCCTGTACACATGATATACAAATATAGAACAAAGAATAAATAAGCACTATTGCCTCCTGAATGAAGTCCTGAGATACACTTCAAAAGAAGTGAAATGTTAAACAAATCTGCTTAGTGATAACTGCGCTAAGTTATTATTTTATTTTAAAAAAAGGCCCTTGACGTCAGTCACGCAGAAGACTAGTATCAGGATAGAGAGATGTAAAGTAGCCCTGTGTCTCCTCTGCATGTACTGGCTTATTAAGTTCCGCACACATGCAACTATGATGAATGGTGTTTCGTGAATGAATTCAAGAGAAAGTCCCTTTGTTTGCTGTTTATCTGAGTCACAAATCAACATCCAAGACAATATTCTCACACATATAACCTATATTTGAATTCCCAATTTTTTTTTACAATTGATGAACTGAATGCTGAGTTCCATTATTTCTGAGGAAATAAATGTTGTGCTGTTCTGTATCTATCTGCCTTGAGAAGACACAGACTAATGGCACCGCTGTACAGCGCCACAAGCTCTGGTGAGAATTGCGATCCAGATTTTTTAGGTTTTCATTTTAGTTGCTAATAGTTACTTGTGCTGAGTTAAAGCTTTTTTCTGACCAAACATGGAAGAGAGCGCATAAAGAACATTGGATACAAACTTCAAAGACCTAGTAGAAAGGTCCCGGATATTGGCAAGGAATACAAAGCAGGAACCAAGAGGAAGGTAACATGAGAATTAAACACATATACCTTGTAACAAATTAAAGGCAAAGATTAATTCAAGGCTGTGGTTTTGCTGGGTGTTAGCACCAAATGGAATTGGAGGATAAACTTCATTTGCAGATATTCTTAACCTGTATTCATAGAGCACGACCGTTTATTGTTCTAGCAGAGTTGTGGCTTTAACCAGCAGCATTGTACATTTAGATCTTCTGCACAGCAAGCTTGCCCTTTCAATCAACCTACAAATATTTTCAGAAATAAAGAAAAGTACACAAGAAACCCAATTCAGTCTTCACGTTACAACATTTAGGATACATCTTTACATATGTGTATATATCTATATATAGCTACATGTAATGACTCAGGATGGTAGATTAACATGCATTTATGCTGCTGAATCAATCATGACTTGCATTTATATAGCACTTTATAAGCAAAAGAACATTTTAAAGTACATGCCTTGTTGCATTATATGATCATAGGCACATAAGGAGTTATCAAGAGTTCTCGTAGCTTTAACAAGTTGCATTGTACATTTAGATCGTCAGGATAGCAAGTATGTCCTTTTAATGTTTCAATTCTGCAAATATTTTCAGAGTCAGAAGATAATGGAAAGGGCCGTTTCAATGCCCGTCATGGTAAGTTGACACACAGTGCATTATGAGATATGGTGGGTGTCATCTCTAGTCATCATACCAGAGATTTCAGTGTTGCACCACTTAAACAGATACTTGTGCAGTGGGGCTCAACGAAGATTGCACAACTAAATCAGCTGGTTCTACATAAATGACTTTTGTATTAAATCAAACCATTGCGTGCATACATTTTGCACAAAAATTGTAATATAGCTCAGGAAAGTAATTTTACCACATGAGTGAATTAACATATTACGATTTTAGATGAGAGTGATCAGACCTCAGCCTCACCTCTTTCACACACGTTTCAGCAGCAGGCGTCTATTCACATTTTGATTGTGGAGATGTTCAGAGCAGCTGGAAATATTGGGTATCCCATGATGTCCTGGAGATGAACCCACTGACTTTGTCTGGAAGAGAAAAATAATTTACCCAAAACCACGTCTATTAATTATTATTATTAATAATAAGAATCCGTGCATTTGATATAGCACCTTATCAAGTTGTCAAGACACCTCAAAGTGTTTCACAGGATTTTGCTGTAATGTGTAGTGTGTTTGCGGTGACAAAAGTGGCAGCCAATTTGTTCATAGCAATGTCAAGTGCTCCGGGACACTACCCTGTGCGAAGGGGGCTATATAAATGCAAGTTGTTGCTGTCGTTGTCTCACAAACAGCTATCAAGCCATGGGGATTATTGGCCAGGACACCAGGAGAAACTTTTTTTGAATAGTGCTGCAGGAAATTTAAATCTACCTGAACAAGCAGATGAGAACTCAGTTTAATGTCTCATCTGAAGGAAGGCAGCTCCAACAATGCAGTGCATCCCCAGGAGATTTGTGCAGCACCGAAAGACATTATGAGGAAGCCAGTTACTGGGGAGGTTCAAACAGACTGGAAGCAGGTTAATGTGGCTCCTATATTCAAGAAAGTGACAGAACCATACCAGGATACTATATACCCATTATCCTGACCTCATTAATTGGAAAACAAATGGAGTCAATTATCAGAATAAAAAAGGAATTTGACTATATAACAATAATCTACTAAATGACCACCAAAATGGTTTCAGAAGAGATAGATTTTGTTTGACCAATCTCAATTTTTGAGAAGGTAACAATCCAAACTGACTATAAGAAGCCACCAGTTACAGTATAACTAGACTTCTAAGAGGTTATCAAGCATACGGCATGGACATAGATTTGAAATTGGCTCAAAGGAAGAAAATGGGGTTGTTAGGGAAGGTGGCCTCAGATGGCTATATTGGGACATCTCTTTTTTCTTCTATACCTTAATATGCAGACTCAATCCAAGGTAGCTAAATTTGCAGACAACACCAAGTTGGGATAACTGTGAAATCAAAGGAGGCAGCAAAGATCTTAGAGAGGAAGATCTCATTAAGATTATGCATATGTTGATTGGCAAATACGTTCAATGCAGATAAATGACTGCGTTTGCTTACAAAATACACAGTCATTATATTATATATAACATTATATCCTGTGAAGCACTTTGGGGCATCCTCCCAGCCTAAAATTATCTCAAATTATTTATTAATAAAATGAAAGGCAATGAATATAGGAATTAAGAATAGGAGGCACATATACTCCATAGATGGCATAGAGATCATAGAACCATGGATGCTGAAAGATATCTAGGGGTGATAGTTGACTCTAGGGTGTTAGTTGACTCTAGAGGTGTTCACCATGGCAAAACTTGTTAAAGTGGGAGGCACCAATAAGCACAGCAAAGAGGATGCTGAGCTATAGTACCAAATTAGTTGAGTTCAGATCCCTAGAAGTCATATTTAAGATGTAGAGAGCTCTAAGCAACTGCACCTAGAATAATGAGTACAGTTGTGGTTGCCATGACATAAGGGAGCTGTTCAGGCCCAAGATGCCATGCAGAGGAGAGGAAGAAGGATGATCTCCAGTATTAGAGGAATGAGCTGTGAACAGCATTTAGACAAGCCAGTGTCATTTCAGAGGAGGATTTATTGCTTCGAGCTATTTTTTGTAAAAAAAAATGTTTTGACGGTATCATGCCTGACTTAGAATGTTTTTTCCTCCAATAAATGCAGAGCCCAAATCACCAAGGAAACTGCACCAAAATAAAACATCTCCTCAGTTTGAGATTTAGGAGGAAGAAGATAATTAATCTGACAACTACTGGATTACTTGTTTGTACAATTAACAGTCTGTTGCTATTAAATTGTCTTATCTGTGCATTTCCTCTGGATGAACCAGGAATAGTATTTTTCCTACCCATTTCACGGATTTTGTTTGCAGCTGTCACACTGAAGCTCTCACTGCACAAATGAATGAAGGAAAAGCTCTGAACATCCTGTTGCAGTTTTCTGCACAGCACATCTCTGTCCTGTCAGAGAGCATTTGCAAAACAAGCACTATACAGTCCATCAGTGTAAGATGCTATATATGAATAACTAGAAATATGATGGGATTACAGAACATTCCTTAATCTGCAGAAATCATGATGTCAACTAAGATATTTTCATCTCATTATGGATATACAATGGCATTCCAGTTGAATTTAAAACTGCAGATCAGTTCTGGAATTCTGTCATCAGTGTTTCTAGAGCTGTGCTTTGAAATGTCTTCCCAACATGAAAGGTGCTATGTAAATGTTAATTGTATTGTATTGCGTTCAAAACGATGGTAGAAAATGTCTCGTAATGAACTTGTTGTATTTGGCTTAAAGATGAACAGGTCAATTTGTGTTCCTATCAAGAAAAAGAAATTGTGTTCTTGCAATGACTTGTAAAGAGTCATATTTTGTCATTAGTTTGCATCCCTCTAATGCGCCTCCTCCTACCCCACTTTTAAAACCCGCCTTTAGATCTATATTTTGGAATGAGCGAGCTACTCATCCCCCCACCCTTCTCAACCATGTCCCCCCTCCCCCCCACCTCCCCCCACCCATCAATCTCGTACAGACCCCCCCCACCCTCCATCAATCTCATCTCTAGTCTCCACCCTTTTCATGCTCGACCTCAGGCCTCTTCCTCACCTCTTCAGTCCCATATCCATTCCAACACCTTTTTCAGTTCCGTTCTCTCTTCCTTCACCCTCCTCAGGCCCATCTTATCCATTTCCTCAGCCCCATTCCCCTCCACCAACCTTCGGCTCCCAGTCAGATCTGTTAAGTTCTTTGAGATGTAAATGTAAATTGTTGTCTTTGCTGATCAGGGATTATTGGTCTGAATTAGCGCAAGGGTTTGATTCTTACCAGTTGTGTTGCCATAAATACATTCAGTACATTCAAATATACAATCAATTTGAATTTGGGAATTTCAGTTGTAACAACAACAAATTACATTGTATAATGCCTTTGTATAACGTCAGGAGATGGTCCCAAGGCGCTGGACAGTCAGAGATTTGGACCTGAGTAGGGCGTTGGGATCAGGGTGGGTGTGGAGGGCAGGGAGGGTAGGGGTGCCCTACCCTCCCTGCTCTCCATATACACACCCCCGAGGATCTTGAGACATTCTTTGAAGGAGGCAAAGGAGGAAGCAAGATGAAGGGATTGTGGGGTGGAATTCTAAAGGGCGGGGGCAGAGAGGCTGAAGACCCGACCCCTGATAGTGGGATGGGCCGGGCGGGGGATGTGGAACAGGAAACAATCGAACCAGATCAAACAAACCATGGAAACAGATGGTGGTGGAAGTGGTGGTGGGGGGGGAGGCAGAGCCAACATTACTTTCCTGTCAATATTCTTTGGAAATATTCCCCCTGCTTGGGTCCTGACCCAACTGTGCAGCGCCTTGGGACGTCCTCCTGACGTGAAAGGCGCTTTATAAATGGAATCTTCTTGTTGTTGTTGTTGAAACGGACATCTCTGCTGAATTGATGTAGGAAGATTGATCTGATGCAAAGAATTAAGGAGATGCTCCCCAGACCTCCACTGATTATCTCGCGTAATACATCCACACCATAATCTTCCTCAAAACACAAATTGAGGTGAGGCACAACTTTTCAAAATAAAACATTGGGTCTATTTGTGGGATTGCTTTATATTTTCCAGTACCCATGAGTACCTCACTCCAAACCAGGGGAACTCAACTCAAAAATAATCTATTTCCCAGAGCAGAGTACCTCTGGTTCAATGGGAATTCTAACAGGATTCCTTGTTACCTTTTCTCCACACTCAAGCACTTCTGTAGCAGTCACTGGTGAGTGCTGAATAGTGGGTACTTGATGTTTTGCCTGCTTGCCAAAGGTTCTAAGGTCACTTGAAGCACCCTGACTGCTGACCAGCCTGAGACCAGCTAACATACTATGCACCAGAGATTACAACTGAAGCACCACTTGATCTGTGTGATTCAGTTCCACACCTCAAAATGTTTGAACCTACTGAGCCTCAGGGAGAAGTCAGTTGAAAAGGCTCAGGATGGAAAACAACTTACAAAAGCAATATCTAACCGTTAAACCAGTTTCAGGATCAACACATAAATAGCGAATTCACACCTGCATTCTGAACTCTTCTTTATTTCTTCTACACATAAATTAACGCCAAAAAAGTAAAATCAAGTGCTGGGTACATGTTGATGAGAGTTCAGTCTGTTTCAGGAACTACAATCTGTCAACCTCAATCTGAACTAGGGCACTGCACCACACAATAAGGTGGAGTCTCTGCTGACATTGATCTTAGGGTTAATAGCAAAATCTTTGTAGGATTCCTACTTGCAGTCCTCACTCTCCGCTTGACCTCCAGTGAAAGTCATGACAGGTTCCCATTATTAATGACATTATTCATCATTATACTAAGAGTTATCTTAAACTTGAAAATGAAAACACACCATTGATGCTAATGTTGGAGAATGGAACATGTAACCACTCCCTGAGGAAATCGTGTACCTTTAAACTGAATTAATAGCAACGCAATATAATGGGTACATTCTAATGGGGTCATTTACTCAGCACCTTTAAATCAAAGTATAAATTTGGATTTGAGGCAATAATCTTCTTTTCCAAATTTGCTAATAGGGTTTGAGAGTATTATGAGCTCCTCTACAATGGATTGTGTTTGCAGGAATACTTAATTGTCCTGAAATGGTTAGTTCCCTCTCTCCCCAGAAACCAGAGCAATCTTAACTGCACTATCTGTAATGGAAAATAGCACGTGCATATTGTTACAGATGTGCAGCAGAAAAATTGTCTAAGTTACAGGAAAGCATCCATATAACCTAGGGTGAAACACTTTCTCCATCTCGAACAAAAGTGGTGCTCTTCATGGTGTAAATATTGGACAAAGCAAAACAATCGCATGATCTTGTATAAAACACAAAAGATATTTGACAAATCACAAAGACACTTACCACTTTTTGCTTTAATGTTTTTGGCAATCCAATGTTGACTTCTTCAAGAAAGCTGACTGGTGCAAGACCTCGCCTCCCATTGACCTGCAAATAAAGATATAATTATTAATAAAAATAATGCTTGTATTTTTATACAGTGCCTTATGTCATCAAAATGTCTCAAAGCAATTTACAAGATTTACAGTAAAGTGCAGTGACTGTGCATTGTGGAGGCAAATGCAGCAGCCAATTTGTGCACAACAATGTCCCACAAACAGCCATGAAGTAAATGACCATTTTGGGGGGATTGTTGGCCAAGATATCAGGAGAAACTACCTTTTTTTTAATAGTGCCATGGGATGTTTAACACCTAAACAGGTAGAATTTTAATATCAGTTTAATATCTCATCCGAAGTACAGCACCTCTGACAATGCAGTGCTCTCCCAACTCTCTATTGGAGTATTGGAATACATTTATTCATCACACCAGGAAGTAAAAGGTATCAGTAACTTTTTTTCTATACATCACTGGGAATAGTAGTCATATAATGTTAAACTTTTGCTCTTTACATAAAAAAACTGTGAAGTGCTTTGCGATGTTTTGACAAAATAAGACCCTATAACAAATACAAATGACTATGCTCCTTGGCCGGTGCGGGGAGCTAAACGGGATCTCCTTAGCGCTGAGCTGACTCCAAAGTGACACAGTTGGCAACAGAATGTTGGAATCGAGTCAACCCTCTGTGGTGGTCTGTCATCCAGGTGGATCCACATTACAGCGCTCTCTGGGCAGTGCTGATAACCAGCCAGCCTGGTTCATCAGCAGTACTTGAAAAAGCAGTGCGGTTTACTGGGCCTAGGGATTCTTGCCACTTGGCTCCTATGAACCCTGTAAGCTAAAGCACTAAAGGGTAGGCTGCAGAAGAAAATCCAGCTCACATAAATTATTTTGGATGATATAATTAATTACATAAATAGATGTTAACTGACGAAAATTAGCACAGTTGTGTCATGGATTAAGAAGGTTTAAGATGGGTTAAAACTACAACCTCAACTGGATATAGGAAAGGACACCCAGTGTGTGTTACTGTTCTGTAGCCTGAGGGGAACAGAAGCAGTTCTTTTACAATGTTGGAGCTCAGTGCATTTCCCAGCCAAACGTTTCCAGCCAATGCTAAGCATGAACAAAGCCATCTTTGTACCATAAGTATAATAAAGAGAGTCAAACTGCACTGGTAATGCTTTACACCATCTTCAATTAAATAGCCAGCCAATTCTCTGATGGAAAACATGCTGGGCTCAAACCCTCTCTCGAAGACTTTACAAAAAGACAGACTTCAAAAAAAGACAAACTGTACAAATAGAAACTGTATAAAAGAACTGGAAAACATCCAGTAACATCAGAAAAGCTGAATGAAAAAAAACATAACACTCATTTAAAACGAATCTCCAAATAGGCCTGCTTATTTGATCCTGGGTCGATTTTGTTTCCCCCACTGTCCATCCTTATTAATCTTTATTGATTGCAAACTCCCAATAGATCTCCCAGTACGTTAGATGGATAATTGATTTCACCGCTGATTAATAGTACTTTACAGCAACAATAATTTCTATCTATATAATGAGGTACTTTGCTTGCATTTGAAATGAAGGTTGGGTTGCTGAGGTAAGGAGATTGTGCAGGCCCTGAATGAAACTATTATCCTCCCACTCCTGCACACATCTGTCACCAACATATTTAAACTATTGCAAATGCACTGTGCTTGGCACAGGAAATTACAGCTTCATCTACAACCTTTTCTTTACTCTTTTAAAGGGTTGCATCAAAACAGACGCAGGCTCTCACTTGCAATTTCAGCTTCTAATGTGTTGAATAGAAATTACCCGAATGTGCAGGAGTCAGACACCAACAGTGCTCCAGAAGTTAACGACTATGAAGCCATATGAAGACATTTTATTTCTGGCTCGGAGATGGCAGCTTTTAACTGCCAATTAGCAGGAGAGCTGCTTTAACCAAAGTATTCAGAGTAAAGCCACTAACTAGCGAATGAAAAAGTTTATTATATTCATATTGTGACATTCACATTGGGAGACATCTTAAAGCACTTAACAAAAATGATCTTAAAATGTATGCCCCACAGTGATCAACTCAAGACCGGTGGAACTAGTTTCTCCCTATTTATCATAGCAAAACTTTGCTGCAACTTCCTTCAAAAAATAATAATAAATTGGTCACTCAATCCATAACTGTTTGTGGGACACTGCTGTGTGCAATTGGCTGCCGTGTTTTGCCCACAAAGTATACAGTCAATTCACTGTACAGTATTTTCTGTGAAGTGCTTTGAGACGTCTCGAACATGTGATAAGGTTCTATATCCAATGCAAGAATTATTATTATTAACTTGCTATTTGCATCTTATTGATAAGACAATGTGTAGATCTGTTTGAGGCCATCTTTCTCCCACTATTAAAAGAGGATGCTTTCAAATAGAACAGTGAATAACAGGAAAATGGATTTTGATACCTTGCCTTGTAAGTAGACCGTTTTTTAAATTTGGCTGTCAGAATTTCCACAGCAACAACTTGTCACAGCTCAGTCCTGTAAGTGTTGCCATGGTAATTATGATTGCTCATCCGAAAATATGCTAATAATATACACTGGATAAATCTTTGCGATCAATATCCTCCTGCTGCTTAGGCAGTGTCAGAATTAGCAATCTAATGTTAATTCAAATAGCCAACGGGCTAATCACTTTGGAAATAAACTGAACAAATTAACTCACGTAATTTCTGCTGGAGAGGCACATGTTTTTGGGTGGGAACTATAACATTCACTTGGTAATCATTTCAACATTAGGATTGGTTATAGGTTTGTTACAGACATAATGAAGTTGAAAAAGAGCTGGTTGAGCAGCATAACTGACACCTTGAAATGGAAAAATGCCTCAAGACAACAGGTGCATCTCTTACAAAGTGCCTCTTTGTACATCAGTCAGAGTTCCACATGTGTATGCTGCCTGCACATGGAAATTCCTGTGTCTGAAATGGAATACACAATGTTTCCCCAGAGAAATTCACCCTGCTTACCTAATTGCAAAGAGTGTTAGGTGCAGGTTGGCAAGAACCAAGGCTTGGGGTCCCCAGAGTGTTTAGTGTGGTACTGCTGGAATCTAACCAACTAAAACCGCATAGCTCGCCATTGAAAGCACTACCTGGCAAACTTCCCGCTGCTTGTCCAGCTAGGACCACCCAAGTGGCTTTGGCCATGAGGGCTTTGGCCTGCAGGGTTAACAGGAGCTAATGGGAAGAGTCCCTGCTCCCAATGACTGGTCTGCAACCGGTAATGAATTAGTTCATCTACAAGGAAACCCTGCTTCCCTTCCTCTCCCCCCCCCCCCCCCCAGGGACATGATCATGGACCCCTTGTGAGAAAAGAAATGATATTCATCACAGCACATTGCTGGTGTTGAATTATTTGTTTTAAACACTTGCAACTTGCTTTGAATCTTTTTTTAAATGACTTTTAATTTATCGTCCAAAGAAAATCAAAAACTCATATTGCTTTATATTCGTTAACTGCACTCAGCTTTCTCACCTGGGAGTTAATAAACCTGAAGAAAACACATAAACCAGCACTGAAGATTGCTTTATGGGGAATAGAGCAAAGAGAGGAACTTAATCCTTATCAGGTTAACATCAGTAAATTTGATCATGTTAACGACCTATCTATATAACAAATTGATGTAGCAACTAGACATGTCAGGATATATAACAGTTGAAATTTGGTTTGCTGGGTGTGTTATTGATTCGGCGCTGTTCAACCTACAGACCAAAACCCCACTATAACACAGCAATTGCGGTTTATAAAATGTCAGAATGTATTGTAGTGCGGCCCTGGGAAACACTTCTGGGGATATCAAAATAATCATAATTATAATAATCTTTGTACTTGATATAGCACTTTTTATGTCATTGAGATAAAATAATAAGATCACTGCTGACATCACCGAACTCCACTGAGCAGCACATTGTCCACAGGAAACTGGCCAGTCAGTGCCAGAAGCAGGAAGGCTACTGCATCTCAGTGTTTCCATGATATATATATGAAACTGCAGTATAACGCGGTCAGACTTTTTAAAACATGATCAACTGCTTACCTCGGCCTCACAGAAACCATCTCTCCTTTGCTTTCCAAATGTCCAAACAATGTCCCCTTCTTTAAAGGCTAGTTCCTGACTAGGATGGATATTGGGACTGTCTTGCAACGGGTGATAGTCATAAATTGCAAGGAACTAGAAAAGATAAACGGAAACAAAATACTCAGAATCAATACTAATTATCATGTGATGTTATGGTTGTGGAGGTGTTGAGTATTTTAGAATATTTTCTGGATCACTAGCCAGACCTGGATATGGTTATTACATTTGTACATCATTGACAGTGGAATATACAATAGCTTCCAAAAGCATATAAAGTACTTGTGCTTTGCAGGGCATATTGCAGATGAATCATAGGTTAAGTGTCCTAGCCTCTCACTAGACAAGTCATTAACAGTTGCATTATTTTACATATTGGAGCATTTTAAGACTTTAGTAATTCCCTCAAGGTTTTCAAGATTTGCTCAGAGACCCTGAACAGATCTTGAAAACCGTTGAAGATGTTACTTTAATATCTATAATAGGAATCTGAGCTGAGTTACAACAGATCGGCCTTGACACATCTTGGACTCACTAGTTAGGGTTCCTTTTGTGATTTAGACCTCGCTATTGCAATTGTCTTATTCACAAGGTTCCACCTCAAAGCTTTGGATTCAACCTTTCTAGATACGGCAATAATTGCATTGCTATTTGCTGTCTTCTAACTGTTTGTTTACACACATAATGTGGATTCCTTCATGTGCCCACTGGGCTGAAAGCAAAAACATATACTTCGAACAGGCGGTCAAAGTCAGGGCTCCACGAAGCAGCACCATTCATTGAATTATTTGAAAGTGTGAGGAGAAGGCACGACAGAGCAGTGGATAGAGTTGCAGTTTGTGTTCTAGGAGCTTGCTGGTTTGAATGCCAGTAGGTGCTGAGATTGCAGGTCTCAGCCAGTGCTGCAATAGGAGGTAAAATCAGCCCCAACCTTCCCAGGGGAGTGAGGGAGGGGGTCCTACTACTGGTCCCTCTTCAGAACCCTCTACTAGTTGTGTGTTTTGTGTAGTAGAGGTGAGAGAGGTCACTCTCTGCTGTGAAGCCCTGTACAGTTGAGTGGCCTGCTGACACTCACTGGCGTGGCTCACCTGTGAACACCAGTCACTTGGGCGGAGCGCAGGAGGGCAACCATGACCTGTGGAAATGCACCAAAGCAGGTCAGACCGGCATCAGAAAGGCATTTACAAGTGGGAAGGGAATTAGAAAAATAATTGGACACATTTATTTTAGATAAAAAAAGAAAACAATGGTAATCTAAGAAGCAGGCAATATAGACAAGGAACAGCCAAACACTTATCTAGGGCAACTATTTCTAGGACATGCCTCTTATTCTACAGTTCTCCTTCAACATTAATAGATGTCAGTTTGATATATATATATATATTCAGCAACTCAGCCTGAATTAATAACGAGGCTGATCAGCTGAGTCAAGCTCTGTGATACGCAGCCTCCATTCCTCAGGTTAGTCGATGTTCAGTAAGAGGCTGAAACCCCTTGGGTAGGTTATTATAACTAATTAAGAAATAGGAAGTAAAGCCAGTATCCTGCAGCTCAATGAGTTGGAAGTGTAATGCACAGTGCGATCAGCCTGTCAAGTATGGCCATTAAGAAGAACGTATTATAGGAATGGGGGAGGGGAAGAGCAGGTCGAGGTCTCTGTCTAACACCCAGAGACCATTCAGTTTGATAAATATCATAACGTTGCTCATTTCAACATCACAATTTTCACCACTTTTGTTTCTGTTCTTGTGGACAAACTAATTTCATTTTTATACCATTTTAAATTAAGCCGCATTGGCAAGTTGCACAGTCTGCTCTGAGACCCTACCCCTGAGTGGAAGGCGTTAGCTACATAAGTGCAAGTCGTTGTTGTTGCTCTCCACTGTGTTGCACAGTCTGCTTTATGTTTGAAAGTGTGGCAGTAGAACAATCCGAGGACATCAGCAGCAACAACAAATTACATTACATTTTACATCAGCACAAAACTCAGTGCTCTGTGTCAATCTGTACTGCAGGTAGTGAAAGATATTACTTGAAGGTTACAATGAACCATGAAACTCCGTCTGTTGGAACCATTTTCAGAAACAAAAAGTAATTTATTTACCTGCTCTGTTCATGTGAATGAATCAACTTTGTTTTAAAGACCATTTATTTCTAAGTTTCAAAGAGCAGTATGAAGATACGGCTGAATCCTTGCTCCCAAAACACCCCAAATATCAACCGAGTGTGACTGTCAATCATCCTCGCTTGTTCAGGTTAAAAAAGATTAACTCTTCAATTATCAATATGGATCACCGTGGCAAAAATCACATGACTTTCCCCAAGGGAGATAGCTCGGCCACAAACACCAGCATAAAAAGGAATAAAAACACAAATGCAGGACATCTACAGCAGGTCAGTTTACAGCACAGAAAGGAGCCACTCAGGCAGATGTGTCAATGCAGTTGCTAGCTGACTTCCTAACTGGAGCGATTTGCTCTCATCCTTGTTCACCCCTCGCCCCTCTATTTCCTTGTAACCTTTAAAAGGGGGCATAATCTTACAAGGGGACATAATTACAATCGTACAAGGGGCCATAATCTTAAAATAAGAGCTTGGCCATTTAAGGAGTGGAATCAGAAAGCATGTGTTCATGCAAAGGGTAGTAGAGATCTGGAACTCTCTTCCCCAAGACTGAGGTGAATAGATTTCTTTTTAGGTCACGGTATCAAGGGATATGGGGCGGGTAATTGAAGTTGAGTTACAAATCAGCCATAATCTTATAGAATGGTGGGACAGTCTCGAGAGGCTGAATGGCTTATCCCTGTTCCACAAACTGTTTTTCTTCAACAGTCATTTATGGTGAGGCTTTCCACATTGTAAGAACCCACTGTCACAATGCACTTTTTCAGTCCCATTATGTTAGTTGTGCTGAAGAGGACCATGGAACCATATAAATTTATAGCACAGAAGAAGGCCATTTGGCCCATCGCATCTGTGCTGGTTCTTTGAAAAGCACTATTAAGGTGTAGAGACTTAATAGGTTTCAGTCTGATGAACCTCGATCAACACTCATGAAATTTCTCAACAAAATAAAATGATTCTGGTAAAATACAGAGTGTCAAAAGGTGGGTATAGTGGAACTTATTAAGTTGATTTGCAAAGAGTTTTTGGCAATTAGGTGCACCATTTCCAAGAGTTGTAATGGTTAGCAACATAAGAGCATAAGAGTCCCGTAGCTCAGTGGTTAGAGCGCTTGCTTTGCACGCAAGAGACCTGGGTTCGATTTCCACAGGGTGAAACCTTGGCAAGTTTCCTTACTCCATGTGCCTGATAATAATCCCTCAAGAAAAAATAAACAATAATAAATTGGTCACTTCAATCCATGACTGTTTGTGGGACACTGTTGTGCGCAATTGGCTGCCGCATTTCGCCCACAAATATAGTCAATTCACTTTACAGTCTATTCTGCAAAGTGCTTTGAGACGTCTAGAAGATGTGGAAAGCGCTATATCGAATGCAATAATTATTATTATTCTAATTCACCTTCCACCTTCCTGGTGGTTGTATGTCCCGAACGACCTATGTACTACATCCCATAATGTTATTTCCTAAAAGAAAACTATGTAACTTCCTGCTTCAACCCCTTCCCCACATCCGGTCCCTGACCAGACCGCCTTCATCCACCTCTGCCACATTGCTCACCTACGACCGTACCTTACCCCAAATGCAGCAGAAACCCTTGTGCAAGCATTTGTCACCATCCACCTGGATTACCCAAACGCACTCCTTGCCGGTCTTCCCAGCTCCACTATTCAAAAAATCCAGCTCATTCAGAATTCTGCTACCCGCATACTTACCTGGACCAAACTCTGTACCCCGATCTCACCAGTTCTGGCCAGTCTCCACTGGCTCCCCATCACCAAACCGATGGACTTCAAGATCCTCACTCTCGTGTTCAAATCCTTTCACTCCCTGGCACCTGCCTACCTCTCTGACTTCCTCACTGCCCAATCCACCACAAAGCACCCCCGCTCGACTGGCACCGGCCTCCTGCTTGTCCTTCGCGACCTCCAACAGAAGTCACACATTCAGCCACTAAGCCCCAAAACACTGGAACACTTGCCCTCAATCCCTCTGCATTGCCCCCTCTCCTTTTTCAAGTCCTCTCCCCTTTTTCAAGTCCCCCCTGAAAACCTTCCTTTTCGACCGTGCTTACGGTCATCTCCCCCCTCCCCGGCTCAGAGTCAGGCTCCACCACTGTTAAGCGCTCTGAGATGCTACCCTGCGTGGAGGGCACTATATAAGTGAAGCTTTTGTTGTCTCCCTAGGGAGCCTGTTCCACAGGAATTTACACCCCTGCAATCGCAAGTTGTGTCCTCTGGTTTTACTATTCTGGCCTAGTTGAAACAGCCAGTCATGATCTACATTGTCTAGACCCATTAGAATCTTAAAAACAGCAATCATATTACCTCTCAATCTTCTCAACAGTATTAACAATTTGAAACAGATTTCTCCCTATAATACACCATATTGCAAGAGTGTGCTGGCCCAAATTCTGCCACTGCAAATCATGTCCCACCTGGTCTCTGTGGAAATAACAAACTTGCATCCAGCTAAGCTCCCACTGTTATGTCTTGCACTATTGCACATGTAAACAATATTTCCAAACTTTATACTCTTAATAATCAGGTTAGGTGCACTGGGGTTTACAATATATCCCAGCAAACTTTAAAACTCTCCCTATTTACACTGTCTACATCTTGTACCAGAGTAAAGAATGCTTAGGTTCTGTAACTGACACCTGAAGCCTCCATCTAATGACTGTGGAAAATCAGCTTTCAGATTAAGGCTGTATATAAAAATGTTCTAAAATTCTGCCCAATCTTGAATGTAAATTTTAAAACAATGGCTAAGGCTGGGACACCTCCCCTTCCCCTCTCCATCACCTGGTGTCCAACCTGTTCTTGTCAAGTGCTTCGAGACATTACCCTGTGCAAAGGGCACTATGCAAATGAAAGTTTTTGTTGCTGTTTTTGTAGCTCTGATCAGTAATAAATCACATCTTTTTATATCTGAACAAGTAATAGAGCGTGTGCTTGAAACATGGCACTGTTGCAGTTACAAAAATTCTATAAAACAAAAAGAACTTGTAAAGCCCCTATCAAAACAACTTACATTTATATGGCAGCTTTCACACAAAGAGCACTTATAGTCCTATGATGGGTAAAGGTCTTCAAGCTCTTAACAGTAATTACTAGTATATACAGTGACGTTTTTTGTGAATAATTCTGTAGCCATTTTACTCACAGCAAAGTTCTCAGACCTGAGGTGAATGCCTACTTATTTTAGTGACAAGCACACCAGGAGAAACTCCCTTAGAGATGCTCTATAAATCCTAGTAACTAATTTAGGTTGACTTACCATTCTTGCTTTAGGATTACGTGTCGACAAGAAGGAGCAATCCTGAGATGATTTGATTTCCTAAATTGAAAAAAGGAAATAAAGTAATTATAATCCTTGATTTGGTAAAGCAGCTTTCATGTTGGAAGGATGCCTCAAGGCACTTCACAGGACACAACAGTGTGTCAGCTGGACTTAGTTGGTAGCACTCTCGCCTCTGAGTCAGAAGGTTGTGGGTTCAAACCCCACATCGCGACATGAACTCACATAGTCTAGGATGCTAAGATGACACTCAACACAATGCAGTGCTGAGGGTGTATTGCATTGTCGGAGATGCTGATCTTCAGATGAGATGTTAAACTGAGGCCCAGTTTGCCTGTTCAGGTGGATGTTAAAGCTCCTATTCGAAAAGAGAAGGAAGTTTCTCCCAGTGTTCTGGCCAACAGTCCCCCATATAAAATTGGCCATTTTTTTCATGAATGTTTGCAGGCCATTGTTGTGGGCAACCGGCTGCAGCATTCACCTACAAATATACAGTTATACACTTCACAATAAATATCATGAAACGCATTGGGACACCAAATGCAACGATTATTATTATTATGATTATTTATACAGTAAAGTGTAGTATAGTGTATTTTATAGACAAATGCAGGAACCAATTTGCAGACAGCAATGTCTCATAAATATTCTTGAAGTGAATAACCAATTTTATTTAGGGGATTAGTGGCTAGGGCACTGGAAGAAACTCTCTTCTCATTTTGAATAGTGTCATAAAATCTTTATCATCCACTTTAATGTCTTTTGTCTCATCAGCAATATAACACTCACTCAGCAATGCTCTGAAATGTAAGCCTAGACCATGATTTCAAAGTTCCAATGCGGGACTTGAACCCGCAAGCTTCTTACTCATAATAGATATGCCATTTCATTCGACATACAACAGCAACAAAATTACATTTGTATTGCACTTTTCATGTCAGGAGGACATGTAACCCCCTACCAACCTCCACTCGGTGGGCTCCAGCCTGCTTCATGTCCCCCGCATCACCCGCCCCACCATTGGCGGGCGGGCCTTCTGCCACTCTGTCCCCACCTTCTAAAACTTCATCCTGCAGTCCCTCCACCTTGCCCCCTCCCTTGCCTCCTTCAAGATCCATCTCAAGACCCTTCTCTTCAACTGTGTGTTTTCGGTTACCCTCCTTCCCCCCCCTGCCCTCCACCCTCCCTGATCCCGACCCCCAGCTCGGGTCCGAAACACTGATTGTCCAGCACCTTGGGACATCCTCCCGATGTGAAAGGCGCTATACAAATGTAGTTTTGTTGTTTTTGTTAAAATCATGTCATTGAGAGCACTCTGGCAAGTTTCCCACTGCTTGTTCAGATAGGACCACCCTATCCATTTAGGGATTTGCCTTGTAGGGTTAACAGGAGCTGAGTAGGAGAAATCCTTGCTCCAAGCATGGTTTCTGTAAAGATGATACAAACATTCTTGTGTATTTGAAGCATAAAAAGCCTTTTGAAATATAAAAGTGAAAATTGCAACCTGTCGAGGGTTGATTAACATTGGTGGTAATTATCACATTGTTGATCAATGCAGTTAAAGAGGCCAATGACTAAAGACTGGTTGAATGTGTAAGCCCTGCACCCCACCCCCACTCACATTCCAGCACATGGTTGGGCCTGATACCAGCCCACATCACAGCAATAAGTTTCTTCTTTCTTTTGTCACATTGCACACATCTGGTAAAATGGCGGGTGAGATAACTTACCACCAACATTGTCCCTTTATTCCTTTAGCAACCAGCTGGTCGTATTAAATAATTCACTTAACTAGCTCCCTCAGGCATTTTTAATGAAGAAGCAAATGTTTCAATAGAAAGCCAAGCACAGGCTGCAAAAGATACATACCTGAAATTTCTCAGAGCAGTCACTGGGGTGACTGGCTGGTGAAAGACAGGACAGTTCAGACAAAGCCTTCTTTTGTGGTTGGCAGTTCTGAAAGAGGACAGTAACCTTCCCAGACACCAGACCATTGGTTCCGACTGTCTGAACACTGACTTGAAATGGTACAGTCAGGTCAAGATCTTCCAGCACAGTCTGTTATTAACACATGGAAGAAAACAGATCACAGAATTGATGGATGAAACAGAATATGGAATAAACAATAACTTACATTTTTATTGTACCCCTTCACGCGTGGATTGGATTGCTTCAAAACATATCGAAGCATCATTGAGGGAGCACTGGGCTGTATTTTTCTTGCCAGGATTGATGACCTTGGTGCTAAGGCAACACAAATCCTTGACCGTCCATCAACCAATCTGGTCTGTATCTGCAGCAGTGATTCAGCATTCACTTGTCAAGATTAAATGGCTGGGTCCCTTGACACTGATTTCATTACTCAAATGAAAAGATAATGCAGATGGGGTTGGGAAAGTAATTGGCAAACCCAAATGCATGTCATTTTCCCATAAAAGGAGATGTCATGGCAAGACGTGATCGATATCCTGTAACAATTTACCCTGGAAAAAAATGAAAACCTGACTGTGTGGTTTGATGTTCAGAGCTCGACAATATATCCACATGGTCAGAACCACAGATCAAACATCCAAAACAGAAAGGAATCTTACCCGTCACATTAAACTATTACAGATCATCAAACCTCTTCAATGATTAAAATGAAGTGAATAATAACATGAAATGCACAAGGTGAAAAGGTCGGCATGTGCAGTGATAATTACTGTACAGGCTCCTGTTGATGTCCCAGTGCCCTGGGGGGAAACACTGCCCGTGCTTTTTTGGGAGCGTTTGCTTCTGAATTCCCTTTGCTGGTGCTGTAGTCCTTCTTTGAGAGAATAGCACCTTTGAACCTGCCACCAAGGTGGAGCACAGCAGTTCAGGGAATTCCAGTTAAACTCAATCTTAAAAGTGACAATTGTCACATCACATTCTGTATTTTAACCCAATGAAGACCATCATCGTGGTTTAGCTACACTTTAGTAAAATCTTCTGTAAATATTCAAGGCAGGAATTAATTTGCCTTTTACCCTGCTCACTTGCTTCAAAGACATCAAGCTTATTGAGCCCTAGTCTCTAATTAAATTTGCGTGCTAACCTAACAAAGGGATATATGAAAAGAAGTTTAATCACATCCCTATGGGAGATGCAGGAAACTCATCTTGTAGCTTACAAGATCACAGCATTAATAAATTAATCACAGCTACCGGAGCTTGGATACTCTTTAGCAAGAAGCAGAACTATACTTTGTTTGTTATAATGCTTATATTTTCTGCAGGACACTGGGGATCATCTTCATTGCTCTCTACACTGATTCCAGGGCCTTGGCGGCTCCCTTATGTCGAGCCACCAGAACTACAGGCACTACACAAGATGTGGCCTGACCACAGCACTATACAGCTTGAGTACGACATTTGGGGATCTGAACTCAACTGATTTAGCAATGTAGTGCAGCATTCTGTTTGCCTCATTTATTGCTGTCTCACACTGTTTTGACATGGTGAGCGATGAATCAATTAATACCCCTATATCTCTTTCAGCTTCCCCCTTGGCAAGTTCTATCCCATACATGGAGTACACATTTTTAATTCCTATCTGTAGTGCCTTGCAGTTATCTGTATTGAACTTTGATCAGTCATCAGTCCATGTGCATACTTTACCAAGCTCTCTGTATCAATCTGCCTGATGCGGCCTGATGTATTAGATAATATATTATTAAAAATCAGTAATAAAGAACAAAAGTACTTTCATTATTATAGTGTCTGAAATATCTGCAAGCGTGTCACAGATAATCATTGCCAAGTTTAGTGATTCTTTTTGTAGGGAAATGCAGCAATCATTTTGCCTAAACAGCCATGAAGCATATGATAAATTAATCTGGAGGATTATTGGCTATAACACAGGGAGAAACTATTTTCTTTTTAAAGATTACAGAATCTTTAACATTCATCTTTAACATTCACTGTGGTTTAGGGTCTCATCCAAGAGATGACAGATCTAACACTGCAGAGCTCTCCCAGCACTGTACTGGAGCATTAACCCACACTATGAGTTCAAGACTCGTTGTGGGGCTCGAACCAACAACATTTTGACCCAGAGATGAGAGTGAGCCAGGCTGACAATGAACACTGTTGTTGTCAACATTGTATCAAACAGAATAAAAATGAATGACAAAGCTCAGGTAATAAATCTAGGAGTCCAGTTCGACCCCCAACTGTCCTTCCTCCCCCACATCTGGTCCCTGACCAGCAACCCTTTCTTCCACCTCCGCCACATTGCCCGCCTCCGACCGTACCTTACCCCAAATGCAGGCGAAGCCCTCGTGCATGCGATTGTCCACTCCTGCTTGGATTACTCCAATGCACTTCTCATCGGTCTCCCCAGCTCCATTATTTACAAGATCCAGATCATTCAAAACTCTGCCGCCCACATACTGATTCCTGACCAAACTCCGTATCCACATCTCACCAGTTCTGGCCAGGCTCCACACTGCTCCCCATCACCGAATGGATCGACTTCAAGATCCTCATACTTGTGTTCAAATCCCTTCACCCCTGGCACCTCCCTACCTCTCCTCACTCCACCACCCGGCACCTCCGCTCGACTGGCTCCGGCCTCCTTCTCGTCCCTCGCATCAGCCCCACCATTGAGGTCATGCTTTCAGCCACTACTCTCCAAAACTCTGGAACATTTTCCCTCAATCCCTCTGCCTTGCCCCCCCCCTCCCCTTTTTCAAGGCCCACCTGAAGGCTTTCCTGTTCGACTGTGCTTACTGCCATCTCCCCCACTCCCACCCCTCGGCTCGGAGTCAGGCTCCGCCATTGTTAAGCGCTCTGAGATGCTACCCTGCATGGAGGGTGCTATATAAGTGCAAGTTGTTGTTGTAAATAATCCTTACATTTGATAGCGTCTAATGCTTATTTTATATAAAACCCTTTTATTATAGTTGCATTTCTATTTTATATCAAGGTTGCTTTTGAAATGTTCCCTTTTTGCTCTACTTCTAGGAATTTACTCTGATTTTTTCCAATTGTTTATATTTTTGCAGAAATCCATCACCATGCTTAAGAGTTTCCAAAACAGACTGAGAATTCGAGATATATATGCCGCCTACACATGCAAATGCTCTTATTTTTAACAACCCAACCTTCCCCTGAAATTTTAATGACTGCTGCTCAGGCAACTAGAACTTACAGATTTACTGAGCCATATGCTGTATCATTGAATATTTTAACACAGGGGTTAAGATTCCAAAAGACAGGACTTTCAAAAACAATTTTCTCATCATTTAATAGAATTACAAAGAATGGACAACATTCTAACCTCTTATAAACTAAAGATGTTTTGGGGAGAATCTACGAAATTAAACTTTGAGTCTAATCAAAAGAGAATATTTTCTCAAAGAGTGTTATGTACTTTAATTCCTTACCTTTGTGCAATCTGATCCCATCACCGACTTGTGAAATTCGCCATCAATGAATATCTAACAAGTAAAATAAATTGAGTAAAAAAGATAATCCTTGCATTTGGTGCAGTACCTTTATCAGATCTTCCAGAGAATACAATAGAAATTTACAGAAACATCTAAGATCTTAATATTTGTACTGGTATCACTATCTAATCTATCTTCTGGAGGTTTATCTAGAGGTTTACCCAGAGGTGTGACCCCATCACCCCCACCTCGCCTGACTCCACTGGCTCCCCATCACTCAGAGGATCAAGTTCAAAATTCCTGTCCTCACCTTCAAGACACTCACTTTCTTGCCCCCTTCTACCTCTCCAACCTGCTAACCCCTTATCAACCTGTCTGAACAACATGATAAGGCGCTATATCGAATTTAAGGATTATTATTAATGTCTCTTTTTTTGTAAATGAGTATATGTTAGATAATACTATGAAACAGATTATTGTTTACATTAAAGCTAAAAAATTCCATGTTCAGTTGGTCGCAAACTGTTAGTCACCAGTCTATAACATACCCTATAGCCTTGGACAGACGTATGATTGCTGGATCCCTTTTCATCCGTACCAGGCTTCTCCCAGTTAACCACCAGGTTGCTCTGGCCGACTGGTTTTATAATCCGGACTGAGACAACTGGTGCAGGGGGCTCTGGAGAAAGGAACACAATAATTAATGTAAATTATAAATAAGGCAAAAAGCATTCAAAAGGACAGAAATGTCCCTGTGCTCATTTATCTTGCAGATGTCAGGGAAATAGCTCTGAATTGTTTGTCTCTGGAGACAAACAGGAGTTTGGTTTGCATTAAGCAACTATGTTTATGGGATTTGTTATGTGAGGTGACCAACCCACACTTATCTAAAGTAAGCCCTTTGCCCTACTTTTGTAAGGAGCCCAGTGAAAAAAAAGTGAGGGTCTATTACTAAATGTTTCTTGCCCTGGCCTGTTGTAGCATACCGTTACACAAGGATTACTGATCGTATTAAACCCAGAATCCACGACAATGCATTACCAGCTCATTTTATTCCGCCTGCCACTATATTTTATCGGCCACCCTTAAGTATTCATTACTTTAAGCCAATTTTGATCACAGACTGGAATTGAAGATTTGCTTAAGGCTACAGCATTTATTTATAACCACAAATCTTACAGTTTAAGAAACAGCATTTTGGGTTAGTCCGTGTCAGAATTAAGAGATTCATTGATGGGTGGATAAAATGATCACGGTTTTAACAACATGTAGAAAGAGGACATTTGCTCAGGAAATCAATGTGGTCTATCTGATAGTCAATGCTGAAAAGTATTAGACAATTATCATGACGCTCTAACATTTTTGTGACCTAAATAGAAGTTAACCCCAAACTGAAAAGATTAACTGGGAGTCCTGTAGCTCAGCGGTTAGAGCACTCGCTTTGCAAGTGAGAGACCGGAGTTTAATTCCAGGCAGAGGGCGAAACCTTGGGCAAGTTTCCTTACTCCACACAGAGCCTAATAATAATCCCTCCAAAAAACCAAAAACAATAATAAATTGGTCATTTTCAATCTACGACTGTTTGTGGGACATTGCTGTGCGCAATTGGCTGCCGCGTTCGCCCACAAATATACAGTCAATTCACTTTACGGTGTGTTCTGTGAAGCGCTTTGGGACGTCCTCCCAACGTGAAAAGCGCTATATCAAATGCAAGGATTATTATTATTAAAATGGCAGAGATCGGATTGCACAGGCCCAGAAAAGACATATACCATAAAGACCCATAGATGTAAGCTGTATCCCTTTAGCCATACACCCCAAGATCTGATGAATAAGAGATTAAATGATGTTCTTTATTTGAAGATTTCTGAGTTTCTTTCCTCAATTTACTTATTAATATAAATGAGTGCTCAATTAAAAATTACTCTTTAATAACAAGTGACTATTGTGCTCATGTTCTTCACCTTTATGCACATAATATCAACTTGCTAACACTTTGATGAAAGTTCTGCTGGATTTGATAAGTGCTGGTAAGTATTAAAACTATTTTGCTCTGAGCTGTGCTGGAACATCTGTTTTATCAGATAATCCCAAACCTCCGTCTCCCTGAAAATTAGTTTTCACTCGACATTGATTTGAAAGCATTTACTTTCTGAGATGGGGATGATTACACTGCCAGGTTACTGAGCAACCGTTACATATGACAATTAAAGACATCTTTTTTATATAGCCAGGGAGAACCTAGATGAAGGGCCAAGGCCCATAGTACAGGACATCACCAAGGGTAGAAATATAGTGCTTAACTTTGTAACATTTCAAAGCACTTCACAGGGAATTGCTGTAAATTGTGTTTTGGTATGTTATGGCAGCAGCCAATTTGCCCACAACAATGTGCCACAGATAATTATTAAGTGAATGACCATCTGAAGGATTGTTGACCAGGACACTGGGAAAAACTTCTCTTTTTGAATAGTATCATGGGATTTTTAACAATCACCGAAACAGATGGCTAGGATCTCAAGTATACTGAGATTTCATCTGAAGAACATCTCCTCTAACATTGTAATGCTCCTCCAGCACTGGAATATCAGCCTAGACCATGAACTCAATGTCCCCATGTGGGGCTTGAACCCACAACCTTTGGAGCCAGAAGTGAAAGTGCTACCAACTAAGCCAATTGGCACATCTAGAAACAGTCTGATATTGTGTTGCGAGTTTGCAAAGAAATGAAGAAAAAAATATTTGATTAAAAAGGCTGGCCACCGTTGGATAGACCACTACTTTTCAATCAGTTCAACCTAAGGACAATTTTTTCTGACATTCCAGCTCTACATCCCTCAAAATGATGATGATGATGAGTGACAGACTGCTTTTTCTTTTGCAATGCCCTCAGGTACAAAATAATTTATGTGTTTATCCTCTCAAGAAATGTTACTTTTAAAATGTGTTCAAAGTTACTGTAAAATCGCTTTCGTCAAAAAAAAAGTTTGGAGAGGTTTTGCTTTTTAACTGGGCATACTGGCCTCAACAGGTATGTATTAATGGACCAGCATAGAGGGATTTGTGGCTACTTTCTGCACTTCCTCTCTGACATCTTTATATGCACTGATTATTGGCTACTGAGTATGTTGCAGGATAACGTACTGTCTCTGACCATCACCTGTCCTAGTATCTCATGCTAAAGTTCTCTCAAATTATTTTACTGACAACTGAGGTATTTCAGCTCTAGCACCTGCATTAAGATACCATTTAAAGCAATAATATAAAAATAATGATCCTTACATTTGATATAGCGCCTTTCACATTGGAAGTCTAAAGAGCTTCACACGATTTACTGTAAAATGTAGTGAACGTATTTTTTGTAGGTGAATGCGGCAGCCAATTCACACACAGCAGTGTCCCACAAATAGCCATAAAGTGAATGACCATTTGTAATTGGGGGATTGTTGGCTCAGGCACCACAGTGGAGAAACTCTCTTCGCTTTTTGAATACTGCCATGAGATCTTTAACCTCCACCTAAACAGGCAGACAGGACCTCGGTTTAACTTCTTTTCTGAAGAAAGACACTTCAGACAATGCAGGGATTTGTTGCTGAAGTATCAAAGAATATTTCAGTTTCAAAGATCTGGTGTGAACCCACAACTTTCTGCCTCAGAGACAAGAGTGCTACCAAATGAACCAGACTTTTGGCTCAGGACTTCAATTGTCGAATATTGAATCGTGATATGTTTTGACAACATGATTACGTGCTATCAAAATGTTTCATTATTTTATCTAACTGACCAGGGACAAACTGACTAAAGCTTTAACAGATGTAATTGTGTCACATAGTGTAGGACAATATTAAAATAAGAGAGCACAGACAAAAAGCTGTTGTTTTGAAAGTTAATCATTGTAATTGTGATTATCAAGTTACTGCGTTGAGAAAAAAGACATTTAGAAGAAAGAAATCACCATCTTTGTTTACAATTATATCTGACAAATATCATTGGAATTGTTAATTTACCTTGTGCCATTGTTGGTCCTCTTACTCCCTGCATAGCAGTTGCTGCTGTCCACCGTTCATGGTCTTCTCTGAGATTTAGTGTCAACATATCTGATAGATTGCATCCTGCTGCTATTAGTTGGCATGTCTCACTAGTATTTCCCCCGGATCCCTGTGTGCTTTTTGGGTCATCCGCACCACAGTCTCCTGAGCAACACTGAGCAGGGTCAGCAGACTGGAGTGAGTGGTGTTGCTCCTGCTTCTCTCCTGCAGTTTGCCAGCGAGTCTCACTAATTGAACATTCCAGTTCATTGTGTAGCCTTGATACCAAAGGGCGCTGCACATGTTCTTGATTTGGTGAGGAAATAGACACTGAACTGGGATCCATTGCTGAGAATGACCCAGTGGTCACAGAAGGGGTTACCTGTAGAGAGAAGAATGAATTGGGTGAAGTTTGCAATCTTTTTAAGCATTTTAATAATCCTTGCATTTGATATAGGACCTTATCATGTCTTCGAGACGTCTCAAAGCGCTTCACAGAATGTATTGTAAAGTGAATTGAGTGCATATTTTGTGGGCGAAACGTGGCAGCCAATTGCGTACAGCAGTGTTCCACAAACAGTTGTGGATTGAGTGACCAATTTATTATTATTATATTTGTTTGAACGAATTATTACCCCCGGAAAAGCGATCCCCCAATTGACTAACAACCGAGGCAAGTGCTCCAACCACTCAGCTACAGGACTCCACCAATTTTGTTGCTTAACACCAGCGAGTGGTTAAAAAAAGTCACAAGTATTACCCCATTTTTCTTAAGGCAACTAAAAAGAAAGTTTCCAAAAGCTCTTTAACAAGGTGTTAGATAAAATAAATAAGCATTATAGGTAAGTAATAAATAATCCTAGCATTTGATATCAACCTTTCACGTTGGGAGGACATCTCAAAGCACTTCACAGAATTTATTGAAAAGTTTAGTGACTGTAAATGTAAATGTAGATGAAATCAGCAGTCAATTTGAACACAGCGATATCCCACAAAGAGACATGGAATGAGTGACCAATTTTATTTGGGGAATTGTTGGCCATGACACCAGAAGAAAACACCTTTCTCTTTTCAAGTAAAGATCTGGAATCTTTTGTAACATCCATCTGATAGACAGCTAGATTATTATGTATCTAGAGACAATGTAATGATGTCCATATTGACTATAATTGTCTATAATATTAGAATCATCCATTTATTCAGTTGGGTCTGACATTTCAGCGAGGCCATTTGAGAATATGGAAAGTGATCCTATTTTAAAACATTGTAATGACGTTTCTTCAGCAAGGAATGGAGCGTTTAGGGGAATACTGCAATTTCAAAATGTTTAAAGACGGCCCAGGGTGTGAAACGCCTCCTGATTCTTTACAATGGTTGTCCCAAAGATTTCAACAGCTGGTAGTTGTTTTTGATTGCAGTGGTTTAGTGCAGCTTCTTGGGATTCCATACTCAAAGACTGCCTCTGAGTTGGGAACAGTAGTTGGGGGCATTAAGCAGAAATCCAAGATTGTGAAAAGCAGTGATGTATTTAAGAGAAAATTTGATGTATACATGAGGGAGAAAGGAATAGATTTGGGGAACAGGAGTGATTGAGGGGAGTGGGGAATATAAATCCAGGCACAGACTAGTTGGGTAGAATGGCTTGTTTCTTTAACGTATGATTCCATGTGTTTCACAAATATTGCAAATGTAGCACTCGAATCCCTAAAATCCAGCTCCCAGAACCTCCATTGTTGGGGTGGGGGGGTGGGGGAGTTACATCTGCCGACACTCCTTAGATGTCCTTAGACAGATGGAAGAAAAGGATTGTTCAACATATAATTAATTGTCACATTGAATTTGTTATGAAACATTACATTTTTCAACTTTTTAAAACAAAAGTGATATGTTTATTATTTTTTAATCAAAGTAAGCCGATTTCACATGCAATAGTTTGAGCAGATTTTAGTTATGGTGTAGTTTACCTGGTAGTTACTGCTATGTCCCTGCTGAAGCTGTTGGTAGAACGCTAGGATCCTTTCTGGGCTACTCAGCTGTGCATTCAGAGTAGACTTGCTCTGAGGTGTGTGTGCACGATGGACATCATCTGCCTCATCCAGAAAGCTGGCTGGAACCAGCCCCAATACCGCATTCACTTCAGCGTGGTACAATCCATGGCTATCTGGGAACCCGGTGACTCGGACCACATCTCCAACAGAGAGAGGCAACTGATAAAACAATACAACAAGGAACAAAACTGCAATATCAAAGCATGTTCAATGTTAGAAACAAGTTTCATCAAAGGAAACCATCTGTACGTTCACCTTATTATTCTGTAAGGTGGCCAAGGGCTTTCTTCATCGAATATTGATGAAGACCCTGTGGGCCTAGCACACCAGTGCTCCAATGCACCTTGCAATTGAGAGATAGGACGAGGGTTCCCAATACAGTGAGTAAATGGTCCAGCTCTAGTAAGACAACAATAAGTAGACTCATCCCAAGCCACTCTCATGCACTTTCCACAGCACTGACAAGTGGTCTGGCATCAAATGACTGCCCATCCGATGGGCTAGGGGTGATGAACAGTAGAGAAAAATGGAAAGGGACAGAACAACAAGTCTCCTAACATTTTATAAACACTGAATTAAATCATCTCAAATTAATCATAGACAAATGTATTGCATGGTGTGACAGCAGAAAATGTGAAATCTGGATATATAGAAAATTCTTTGCTAATCCTCTTTGATGACCTTTCACATCAGCGTAGGAGTCAAGACTATTCCCGCCCATTATTCAACTCAATCTGAATCAGTGGCACCTGAGCCCTGGTTATGATCAATTTTCCATAATTCTGTTGCAATCTTCAATTTTAAGACAAAATGGTTCTACGAGCTAAGACTGGGTGGAATTGCAGGCTTTGGGTTTAATCATGCACATCAGTCAGGTCTAAAGGGATTCACTCACAACTCGCCAACCTGATTTAATTTAATTTAATTGTCAGAGAGAACACCATCAGTATCTGGGCTGGATTTCAATCCAAATCTCAGGAGGGTAAGGCCAGCCATTTAGAGATTGCATCTCTCAGCCCTCTGAGTATAGAAACATTTCAAAAATATTACAAGATAAACCTGTAATAGGTCAGCCACCTGTGTTTCACAAGTGTTACTGCATGGATTAGATCGAATGACAGTGACAAAGAATAAAGGTCAGAGGGCTGAATTCACTCATGGTTTTAAGACTAGTAATCTAGAATTTAAGGTATGCAGAGTTTTGAAATTTCATATATTTAGACACAATTTGGAAGCTATTTTTCTACAGTTGGAACAGTAGAAAAGCAGTTTTCTACAAAACGCACAGCCACCGCACATTACAGTAAATCATTTGAAGTGTTTTTAGATGTCCTCCCAAAGGAAAAGGTGCTACATCAAATGCAAGGATTATTATTAATAATCTATTAAGAGTGAATTTAAGAATATTCCAAAATGTTGCACGATCTTAAGCTTTAAGACAATGGTCTTTTCAGGCCCTGGTTGTTTGCACACTGACAAACTCTGCTCTCTAGACAGAATTTGTCACACAATAACATGCTTTCCCAACCATTGGTATCAACCAGAACAATGACTAGTAGTATCACTGGTTAGCTCAGTTGGTAAACGCATCACTAATATAAAACCAAGCCACACAGATCCTTAGCAGTGCTCTGAGATGCTATCTTGTGTGAATGGTGCTATATAAAAGCAAGCTGTTGTTGTTGTTGAGCATCCCAGATTTAATCCCCATTCTATGAAGGACAGGACTAACATAATAATAATCCTTGCATTTGATATAGTGCCTTATTATGCCTTCGAGACGACTCAAAGCCTTTCGCAGAATATACTGTAAAGTGAATTAACTGTATATTTTATGGGCGAAACACGGCAGCCAATTGCGCACAGCAGTGTCCCACAAAACCTTGTGGATTGAGTGATCAAAATTTTTTTAAGGGACTATTACCACGGAAAAGCGATCCACCAATCATACTGCTAGGTAAACAGAGGTGTGTGGAGTAAGAAAGCTTTCCCAACGTTTCGCTTTGCCTGGGAATCGAACCCAGATCCTCTCGCTTGCTAGGCGAATGTGCTAACCACTATGCGAAAGGATTCCACTTCAACTTCAAAAGATCACTCACAGCAGGCAGGACTGTGTGGGGCATGTTCTCAGAAGGGTGGTAGTCAGCATTGGCTACACATGACCTGTAGATTAAAGATGGACTGGAATCCACAATGTTTCCCCTTTGACTGGAAAGAGAGTCCAGAAGACCAGGATGCAAACCTAAAATTAAACAGGTCATCAATTTTTGAAATATACACCAAGTGAAAAATGCAAGATATGATAATTATCATCAAATCACCAATACTAATAGGCAATAATTGTCACAAGGATACAGAAATGCAGTCATTTTTCCCCACTCTCTGAAACTCCATCCCAGAATCCCTCCAACTGTCCTTTCAGTTACCTTTCTCTACCCTCAGCTCAGGCTCTCCATTAGCTGTGTGAAACCCTTTGAGGTATCCTCCCGACGTGAACATATACATTTATTGTTCTTGTTCTTATAAATCTGTCATTAATAGCAACTTTTGGACTGAACACTTTCTTTTCCACATCATTTGTAGGATAGCTTCACATTCCCACGCTTTCAGAATTTTTAATACATTTTTTTTCATCTAAAGCCATTTTTCCTGGCCCAGTGCAGCATTTGAACTTTTAAAATGAATGTGTAAATTCTTTTTGAGACTGTACATGGGTGAAATAAGTTTGAATCGTTATGTTCTTAGCCCCACTATAAAATAAACTGAAAGATCAGTAAAAAGCCTGAGGAAGAAACCCTTCTCCCTACGTTTTGTGGGTGCTCAGGCCCAAATTTGTCATTAAGCACAATTCTCCATCTATAAACCATTCTTTAACTCTTTCTGGTTATAATAAAGGAACCAAATGAGTTTAGGAATATCGCAATTTTGACCCCAATATTTTTGAATGCTTTGGCTAACCTTGGTCAGGATTTGCAGCTGAGATTCCACTAATCTTCATGTTCCCCTAGAACGAAGGAACACAAGTTGGTCAGAGAAAATTAGTATTACAATCCTAAATCAGGTTTCATTTAGGGATAACATTTGCAGCATTCCTGAAAGCTGCCCGTAGGTGCTTCCCTCTGCAGTTAAGTGGAGGATTTCTCTTGAAGGACCTACTGGCACCCTTTTACTAGACTCTGAAGTGAGTTCCTTTATTTTATAAGTATTAGGCTCGAATTCGGCTCTAGGTTCTTTTTTGATTAATATTGGATTCCCAGGGTTCATCTGCATAGAAGAGCCAAAATCTTCCCTCTCCCTGGTCAGGAAAATTAACTTTAATCAACAAGGCAGGCAGCCTCTTGGGTGAAATCGATCCCTAAATGCCAAGAAGAGAATTGGTTTCAGCCTTTCTATGCAGATTAACTGTGGCGGCTTTCAGGATCATGGTCGTTGAATTAAATCGTGCAATTTCAGGCCCAAACTAGTTATAATAATAATAAACTAGTTCTGCAATTTGTGCGGTGATCTCCACAACCCTAATGTCTCTGATCAAGCTCATTCTTTCCCCATGAACACAAGACTGTGATAATATGAGCCAATGCAGTCGAACATTTTCACAAAGTAAATCCTGTGGGTACCAGGACTGGCTGACTCATTAAAATGGAATAGAATTTGAGCAAAAAGTCTAAATGGAGGATAACCAGCAGCAGATTTTAAAAAAGAACTAAAGAACATGGGTTTGGGGAAAGGGCAGGGACTGAAAGGATTCTCTTTAAAAGAGCCAGCATACACACAAAGGCCTTCTTCTGCGCTGTAAATTTCTGTGATTTCTATGGAATATTAGTAGGAATGTCTCGGGCTCATACCAGTTGGCTGTACGAGGGCAGGAAGGTCCTCGTGTACTCCAGCACTGCAGTGTCATTCAGCAGATCCTCAGCCTCTTCCATCAGGCCCATATTGATAAAGCCACATCCACAGAGCCCCTTCACCAGCTTTATGATCAGGCTGTTCCTGTCGTGGCATTTCTGAATAAGGCAGGACACTTTGGCCTGCAATTGAAACCACAGCAAACGGGAGAATATTGAGTGTATTGGTCAATGAGAGTCTTTTAGTCTCTATACTTACGGTAACACTCATAGCCAAACAGAAAAGAGAAATAGGAAATTGAAAGATAACTTAATTTTGTCTATTGTTTTTTGACAAATCAGTTTATCGGGAGAAGAATCACCAAAGATCCAAAAACTGTCCGGGGGTGTGAGGAGGTGGGGGCAAGAGATAAGCAGAGTTGGAGCTGAACTGGCTCTAAAGGTGATATGCTTGGCAAAAGAATGTTTTATTTATGTGTTGTCTCAGTTGTTTTGTTCCTGAGCCAGGCGAATACTCCAGGGCACTGCTGATGACACCTCAGCCAGTCTGGCTCATCTGTAGGTTTTAGAGGAACAGACCACTCAGCTCCCGTTAACCCTGCAAGCCAAAGACCTAACGGATAGAGTGACGTTCGCTGAACAAGCAGCAGGATGCTTGCCAGAGAGTACTCTCAACAGCAAGCTACGCAGTTTTAACTGGTTAGATTGCAGCAGTACCCCAACACTCACTTACTTTGGGTTTTGTCAACCTGCACCTAATGCTCTCTGGAACTAGGTAAACAGGGTGCATCCCTTCAGTGTGTGTATTCCACTCTCTGTGTCTATTCCAGACATAGGATATTTTTCACATGTAGGTGGCATGCATATGTGAAACATTGTCTGGTTTGGATACTCTTAAGCATGGTGACATGTTTCAGACAAAACAAAGACTCACCAACTGTTAAAATTGTTTAAGGAATCTGGGTGCTACCTTTAATGGAGCTACAAGCAGTTCAGCTTCTGTTTTTCTCTTTCCCATCTTTTCAAACTGAAGAGAAAACAAATATCATTTAATATCTGATTTTATCCTAACTTAGCCTTTATTGTGCAATTTGTACTGTCAACGCACACATCAGAAAGAATGAATTAAGAATTAATTTCAAACTGCTGCCTCCTAGATTTAACATTATTGAAACTGTTGTCACATTTCAAATTATTCATTGACCACTGCAGTGAAAAATGGACCCTGTGTGATGTAATAAATAATATTGCTCTAAAACCATTTATTACTTATAGTCCAGTCCATTAATGTAACCCCCAACCCCCCATGAAAGTTTCTATAGCCACCTTTATTGTTCCACACATGGAAGAGTTTAGGGATATTAGTTTCGCTCAATCAAACTGTTCTGACAATAAGCAGGTCAATGTAATAATTATCTCCAGTGCTGGCAATCAACCATGTCACATTTTCTCCCAATTACCCTCGAACATCTGGACTGATCCATGATCTACAGTATGTTATGTTTGAGCCAATGCTGCTATTTCCTAATTTACACACACTTTTGGAATAATGTCCTGAACACTTTGGTGGCTTACTTTTTGGCCTTCTCCAAAGCATTTAATTGGATCTGGCACAGTGCTATCGTATGATCTATCACCAAAGTTATGTTCACGGTTAATTACGGTTCTCCACAATTTCATTTTAGCATTGACTGAGCTCCATAATCAGGTTTGGGGCTCTAAGATTGACAGGCTGTCTTAACTGTTTGGTGTTCAGTGGTTACCTCTCTCTTCATCAGCTCAGAACTTGCTTTCAGCTCCTGTGCTTTACAGCTCCATTCTTCCAAGGCACAAAGTTGTTCTTTCAATTGGGAATTGTTTTCTCTTAGACTTACTTCAACCTTAGACTACACAGAACACTGAGTCAGCATACATTACAGTATTCTCACTGGATCACAGCAGAGGTCAAGATTCAACATTTGTACCAGCAAGTCACGGATGGAGCGTTTTGTCTGGTAGCCAGACGTGTATTACACTGACCAACAGGAAATCTGCTCCGACACTCTTGAACATAAGTGTTGCAGGCCTCCCAGGGGTCAGCTTGATGCACAACCAGTTACCATCAGAAGATGTTATTTGTAACATCCTGTTGCAAACATTGCACTTCTAACCCGTCATTGTGCTTTACAAAATATCACGTCTCCCATAAAGCTGTTGAAAAGTGAGCGTTGACCACTTTGATCAAACGTATCCAGATTAATGCTGGACACATGCAAATACTAACGGCTGATGCAGCCTCTTAATTTGATTTGAGATTTGAACCCTCGCTCGGTCGATGGCGGTTACCAGGAACTCCCTGCGAGCTTCTTGATGAGCAACACAGCTCAGCATGAAATATGCGAGAGCATCGTCACCATCCTCCTATCCATAGCTCGGAAACACATCCCTTCCCATTGAGCGATTAATCCACCAGTTGGGGGTGTGGAGTTTAAGCAACATCTGATTCCCTCTCTGTATACCAATCCCAATCTAATAGCTGGGAGAAACCATGGCAGATTGGCAGAATATGCTGCCATCTGGTGGACATAAAATGTTAAACACCAAATGATCACACATTCTTGTAATAATTAGAGCCAATGAGAGTTAACAAATAGTGATAATTATCACATTGAAGAGTTTAAAAGCTAAACGTTTACCCCCACATTATTACCTTCTCATCAAATTGGTTTTGGAGGATCCCCAGCTGCTGTTCTAATTGCTGCAGTCTCCTCTGTAGAATGGTCTGATCTTTGAGACAAGACCTCAACGCCAGTATCTGCTGCTGAAGTGCCAGCTCTTGTCTTGTGCAGTTCATCGTATCGTTCTATTTGGAATGATGAAGTCAAATAGATTTTTTTTTCCCTCTCATTCATCGCGTTTCTCCTCTTCCAGTGAAACCTGTGCTCACAACCACCCGAGCAAGTCAAGTCACCTCTCTGGCAGGGCAAGCCCGGCCTGAGCCTAATGACCAAGCTCTCAAGCTAGCTCTACGTTTCTGTATCTCTGCTTCCTCTTGTGAGGGCAGATTAAATTCCTTAGGTCGGACGTACTGCGATACCAATCCCAAACAATAGAGGGTCAAAAGCATAGCTGTTGACAGGTGCTCAATCCTTCCATAAAACAGCCATGTGCAAATTGGGCCATGTTCATCTATAAATATACATTTACTACACTTGACTCCAATTCCCTGTCAAGCGCATGCCACAGATAGACAAGGTCACATTAGGGTTAAGGTGTATTCTCATCAATCATCAAACATTTGGGGTTTTATTACATTAGAAAAATAACATTGAAAGTCACTCCTTTCCCTTACCAAAAACAGTCAATGATAACAATAATCCTTGTAATCACGATAGAATTTTAACATATTGTCGGGACATCACAAAACTCTTCACAGAATGTTGTATACTGAAAAGTGGTGTGACCGTGTGTATTTTTTGTGGGCAAAGATAGAATAAAAGAAGAAAAGTAGAACAGGAATAAAGAAACGACAGGGTAAAATTTCACTGGACTTCTTGTTTATATTTATTTAGGGGGTTAGGATTTATCTTATAATAATAAGACATGCTAGTCGATTGGTGGATTGCTTTCCGGCGGTAATAATCCCCTCAAACGAATAATAGTAAATCGGTCACTCAATCCACGACTGTTTGTGACACACTGCTGTGTGTAATTGGCTGCCATGTTTCACCTACAAAATACACTTTACAATGTTGACGTTTTTCAAACCCTCCAGGCTAAGTATATATTTATTTCATTTCTGTTTTCTCACGTCTTCCCTGACCTCTTCCTTTGCCACCCCGTCCACCATCTCTCTCGCTCTCTGACTTTGGTATCAAACAAAACCATGAGTGTCATTCCCTCTCTCTCCCCTTTGTGCTGCCTCCCCTAGCCCCGTCATGCCTGTGGGCTGACCATGTCCCACTCTTCTCTTGATCTCCGCGTGCGAGTTTTGGTTGCAACCCTGACTCAAGCTGCACCCCCATCCCCCCGAAAATTCTCCCTCTTCTACTCCCCACTCTCCGCTACTCCCAATCAGTCCTTCTCTTCCACCACTCTCCTCGCCTTATATCAATATCAATATCAAGGTTTATGGATGATTCCAAGCTTGAGTTTATAGTGAATAGTGAGGAAGATGGCAAAAGACTGCAGGAGGACTTTAAATAGATTAGCACATTGGGCAGATCAGTGACAGGTGAAGTTGAATGAAGCAAAATGTGACTTCTCATTTTGATAGTAAAAATCACTCCATTGTGAGTTTCAAGTGGGAAGTACACAGATTTATGAAGGACAGAGGCTTTTGGAGATAAGGCAGGGCTGTGGATTTGAATGAACACCTTGCTCAAAGAGCCAGTACAGACTCAATGGGTTAGAAATATGCCATAAATGTTATGATTCTAACTTGTTACTTTAATATTACCTCAGTCCTGGGCTGCTTTACAGTTTTTAATGATACGTCTTCAGCTGTAAACATGGCCTCAGCTTGCATCAGACCACTTTGTTGAACTTTGTTTATCTCATCTTTTTCCTTCAAGAGAAATGCAAGGATTTTTATTATTATTATTATAAAGAAGGTTTACTTAGTACCATTGTATGTTCATTTATAGTGACAATGCACTAAACCCCCAGCTAAATGCTAATCCTAATCCCTAACATTTAAAATGAATAAAAAAGAATTTTAAATAAATGAAATAGACATAAAGAAAAACAAAAATAGCTATAGTTCTCTAATCACCACTGATGTGATGTAGCTCTGTTAATGCCATTAGCTAAACACATCACCTGTGTCGAACTGTGGGCACCACATGGGATGGTGGGAGTTTTGAAACACAGATTTTTGGGGGACCTAGTCCCAAAAAATTCTGAATTCTGCATATGTGGAGTCTAGCTAAGCAAGGGTTTACTACTGTAGTTTCTTTTAAAAGTAAGCACCAAATACTCGTGAAGCACTTTGAGATGCTTTTGACGCGTTAGGGTGCTGTCAAGCCAGTCTTTCGTGGGCCCTTCACTTTTTTTTGATTCCATTCATCAAAAGGGTAAAATTGAAAATAATTTACCTTTTAAAAAGCCAGACTGCAATTGAATGACGGTTTTTTAGCCCTAGATTGAAAAGAAATGTTGCGTTTTTTTTCCAATTATCCAACCCTTTTTTTGCTGCTGATTCTCCTTACCTGAGCAGCACATTCCAGTTGTTCAGTTTTGTCACAGTGATAAAGAGCTTCTGGAGCAGCACCATTCACAACCAAGCCTTCTGCTGAGCACCGTCTCACCCCCTCTCCGATTAGTTTGGCCACACATTCTTCCTGCTGCGATCCCTTATTAGACCCCAGCTTTGAATCGTCAGTAGGTCCTCCAATGTCTTTCACTATAGGTGACTCTGTCAATCCATCATTAAATCCATACTTCTGCCTTGCCAGACCTTTGCTCAATGAAAATATTTGTTCAGTTTTGAATACTGTCTCCCCATCTTCTTTTACCAAAGAAGTATCCTGCAGTGATTGCTTATTTGGTTGCTCGAGAATCTCAGCAGATTCCACCAATTTGTCTTTTTCATCAGTTATTTCCACATTCATTTCTTCAATTTGATTTTCATTCAATCTCATCAATTTGCTGTTTACGTGCTCCAAACGGTTCAGTTTGTGCTGCAGGGCAGTGATTTGAGTAAGATACTGTTCTGCTTTGCTTTCTAATATATTGACCTTCTCTGAAAGCTCCTCGTTCTCTCCTTTCAACAGTTGCACATTTCGATGACCAACCTCTGCCTTCTCATTCTCAAGCCTGTTCATCTTGTTGAACAGTAGGTGATTATCTTGCTTTCCCTTTTCTATCTCTTCCTTCAGCCCTGTCATTGCATCAATAAGTATTTTATCTTCGCTTTCCAGCTCTGCTATTCTTTTCTTCAGTTTCTCATTTTGAGTACTCATTCCTTTAGCAGCCTGATGACATTCCAATATCTGCTGCGTATTTGCTCTCTGCACAGAGGCGAGCTGTTCTTCCAGTTTCTGCTTCTCCTCTGCCAGCATCGAAAAGTTCTGTAAAGCGTTCTGATTCTCTTCCTGTAACTCTACCTCCATTTTCCTCCGCTCATTTTCCAGCTTTGCTATTCTATTTAGCAGCTCCTTGTTTGTCTTCTCCAGCACTTCATTCTCCTTTCTCAAGTTGTTCTTCATCGTTTCTTCTTCCTTCATCTTTTCTTGCGTCACCGCATCAAGTTTCTCAGACAAATTGTGACTTGACTTTCTGTAGCGCACAGTTTTTTCTCCAGTTCACTTCTTTCTGCAGTTGTCTTGAGTAGCAGGCTGTTTTTGCCTTGCAAATGTTGGTCCAGCTCTGCTTTCTCTGTCTGCAGCTTTTGTATTTCAGCTTCAAGTGTGGTGATGGTGCCTTTGAATGCCATGACCTCTGTGCTGGAGGATTCTCTTTGCATGTTGAGCTGTGACCTTGACAAAGCGTGACCATCAGGCTCACTATTGTCACAACTGCTATACGTGTGTAGAGATGTGCTGCTTGACTTTGCGCCAGGGACTTTCTGATTGGCAAGCTCCAGTACAGCAGCCTGTGGTTGACTGGAATTGGGATCCATTGTAACAACAGCATGACGTGTTATTTCATTGGGGTTAATTATGTCATCTCCATACTTCGTATTCTCCTGCTCTATCTCACTAGTACCCAGTTTTTCAGCCATGGATGAAGAGTTATCCTCCCTTGCTAATTGTTCTCTTTCAAGGTCCAACAATCTGGACAGCTCTTTTTGAGTCCCAGGTCTTTTAAGGACAACTCTGACCTATGGACAAAGTGATGATAAACATGTACTGCTCAGTGAGTGGAAGTACATTCTAAATAATTGTAAATCAATTAATCAGTTAAGTCTTATAACTTCTTAAAAGCACATGAGGGCCACCCCCCCCCCCACCAGGTGAATTTTGCAAGATGTGTAAAACGTGTAAACTCATTACAGGTGCCCTTACTTATCTAATTAATAAGTGAAACAAACTGGTATTTAAATTACAATAATTAATAAATGATATTGTCAAAATAAGCTTGCGTTTTCAGGAGTTAGTGCAGATTCTTCTGATGGTCCTTTGGGCCCTCCCTCCTGGGAGAGGAGCTCAAAACAGACTGTGCTCAAACATTCACCTACAAAGGATCTAAACTTTACAGCAAATCCAAGAGGTGCTTTGTAATGTCCTCCAATGTGAAAGGTATTATATGAAATTAAAAAAATTCTTACTATAGACATGACCTCAAAGCCCTAATGAATAGGATGGTCCTAGCTGGACAGGTACTGTGTTGTGTGATCAATTGCTCAAAGTCCCATTGACATACAATTTCTTAAAGGTACACGAGGGACATCATTGTGGTGCTCATTCTTTATCTATGAGCCTGAACAGTGATGGTCAGCAAGTGAAGCAACTGGTGGTGGGGGGAAGGGGAGGAAATCACATGTGAACCTAATCCTGTCCTCACTTCACACCACACATACACATAGGAGAGTGATCAGGAGCACAGTACAGCACACATCATGGGACAGTGATGTCAGCACAACCAAAACACTATCCTCCGTGAAGGGCGTGATATAAATCAAGCTGTTGTTGCTGTTTTAGTAATCAGCAAATTAAACTCTTGTCTGTTCCTTCCCCAATCTAGGATACTTGTTCAACTCTTATCTTAACCCATCTGACATTAGCTAGTTTAGTACAGACTGGTGTTCAAACCTGAATTTTCCTGTATTCTGTGTCCATTCCACATAAGGATTAACCCCACCCCAAGCCTTGAATCATCAGAGAAGAAGCATCATATTGGTTGATGCAATACACAACCAAAACACGCAAACAAATCTTTACAAATAGAACCATAAAATCATAGAATTATACAGCACAGAAGGAGGCCATTCAGCCCATCGTGTCTGCGTCGGCTCTTTGAAAAGAGTTATCCAAATCAGTCTCACTCCCCCACACTCTCCCCATAGCCCTGCAAACTTGTCCTCCCTAAATAATTATCTGAATAGTTGAAGTTAATGAAGTACATTCAGTAATGACCAATAGAAGAGACTTTCTTCACCTGCTCCACATCACCGCATCTAAGAGCCTGCATCATCTCTGCCAATGGAGAGGAATGTGATTCCAGCAGTGGTGTAAGACGACCTTCCTTGATAGCCTCTGAGAATTTCGGGTAATCGTAAATACATTCCGAAGCCAACTCTGTTAAGTAGAACACAAATATGTGGTTTATTTGACTTGTGCCATCTTAAGAGCAAAGCACACTCTTATTGGATAGACAGTAGCATTTAAACAAGCAGAAAGGTCAATCTGAGCATGTAAAGCTGTGTGTAACACCGTACTTGCAATGATCATGGCCTCTTGAACACACTGCCCTATGGAGGGTGTCTGAATCGCCTTGTTACGAGATGGATCCAGCAGAGATGTCCATTTGTCCCTCAGCAACTCTTCTCGAAACAAGATATCCCCGTTCTACGTGGAACCAAGATGCCCGAGTTTAGTATTTGATTTCAGAGTTGAAAGATGATGTTCCAGCACTGAAATTATCGACTACAAATCAATATAACTAAACAAAAATAAAGGAACAAAAACGTCATTCTCCCCCTTTCTCCATCCTGCCCCAAGCCCATATCCATCTGCTCTTCACTGAATGGAGAATAGATGCAAAGGCTCCAAGACTCTGTCCCTTGTGAAGGGTGCAATCGCACTTCTGGTAACCACTGACCATGGGGCACTCATGATAAAAGCGGACCGGCACTCTAGCAAGACTTTTAATTATGAGGTCACCCTGTAAACGTTGGAGTCCATAACCTAGCCACCTTACAACTGAAGCAGCTCTGTATTGAATGGTGTTATAATAAGGTTCACCTGCAGTTAGTTAGAACAGTATTTTGTGCCAGTCTTACGGGTATATGTTAAGTATGTGGACAACAAGATACAAAATACATTTGTGTTGTGTCAAGCAGGAAGTAATCTACAAAGCCAATGTATTATTTTACCTGGAGCTGAGATCGTAAGTGGCTCAAAGAGTTCTTCAAGTCTCTGTATCTGCTGGGAGAGCTCTGCTCCTCCTGTGAAAGGAAACAAAAACAAGTTTAAAATACCCACTGAAATTACTTCAGTTCATTTCAAAACATTTCAACAGCGCTGCATGAGGCAAATTGATCTTAATATGTGAAGATGCATGTTTCAGTTGTGATTCATTTGAATACATCTGCCCAGTGATTGCATTAGAGACATCCTTAAAGCATTAAACTCATTGACAACATATGGAGAGCTCAGCAAATTTAATGGGTATGATTCAAATTTACACAGTAGTGAGTGACACTAGAACAATAAATTCGATATAAGTTTGCAATTAAATTAGTTTATTTAATGAGAGGACACTGAGTATGAATATGTGGCAATTTCTAATGGGATTCCTTAATAAAGAAACCAGAAGCACACCACACAGAAACTCTACTCCAAAGTGATCTGTGTTCATTCCTATGATTTGATTTTGGAGTGGAATTCCTACTTGACTGAGTGATGAATTTTTGATTAGACCTCAAGAATGCAAAGGGATTTTGTTAGGATGTGCAATAAACAGGGGATATAAAGGAAGGGGAGACTGTCAATGGTGCAAAGAGGGCACAGTCAGTATAATTAAAGAGTTTGTTTACATTTAGAATCCTCTTAGACTATGCAGTATAAATGTTCAAACCAATAAACTAGGCAAATTAAACAAAGCTGAAAAAAATGCTTTTTCCCCAACAGTTTCCATTCCTTCAGCCCAGTAAGTAATTTTTAAACAGAAAGTGTTTGTGAAAAAGTATGAATAAATAATTTATCTACAAAGGTTCTCAACAGGTCTGGCTCTGATCGTTCTGTCTCCTTCTCAAAAATAGGCTAAATAAAAAAAACTAAAAGCAATTTCAAAATAAGTCCTAAAGTTTCAGAATCCAGTTCACTGGCAAAGGAAAAACGACACCAAGGATTCTAAAAACGAACTAGAAAATGGGAGAAGTTTCACTGGTTTGTCCAAAACTTCTACATTTTTTTTTGGCGCCAGCATTTCACACTGATGTTAACAAATCAAGTGTTAATGCCATCTATGCACACAAGTTTAGAAGAGGGAAAATGAACAAATGATTCATATTAATTATTTTACACCTAGAGTGGGCAATATGGTGCTTTTTGTACCTATGCATTCCTATGCTCTTATGCATGTTGGGATTCATTTCTTGTGCGACTATAATAGTGTCTCCTGTGTTAACTGGATACAAAATAAAAGCTTGCATGGATTATGCACTGACTCACTGTTGTGCATTGGCCAGAATGTGAGCTCACCACATGGTGAAAGATTGCACTACAGAGGCTGCTCAGCTGCTTATGCTTTGAAGATTCCTGAAGGAGAAAGAGAAAATTTTGATTAGAAAGCATCAAAATGGCAGAGAGGGCACTACTCATCATGGGAGGTAGAACTGCATTTACACAAACAGCGTATTCAGCCAGGTGTGCAACAGAAGCCGCTCAAGACAATCTGTCGTTCGCAGCAAAACTCTAGTGCGCTACCCCCTCCCACCTTAGACATTTGATAGCCTTAACAACAACAACTTTAATTTATATAGCACACTTCCTGTGGGGTAGTGGAGAAATGAATTTACTGTAAAACGTCTGCAGGCCGCTGCCGCCGCTACCATATGGCACTCACTGTAGCCCAGTCGCACATTTCAATTTTGTTGGTCAAGCATTCAAAAAAAACTGCTTTTCCCAGAAATCTGCCAACCCTCAGCAGCCTACCACTAGTTTGCCTCTAGCTAGGGCATACCCTGTGTGCAAATACTTGTTCTCGTATGCATGTTTACACTAGACCCAATTTCCTCCGCTTGTGTGGGGAAATGCACAGATTTAAACTGTCTGCACACACACACACACACACACAAAATAGCATTTTGCTCAGTATTTAGAAAACATCAGCAAAAGCACCACATTTATAATTCCAGCTAAAGAGGGTAAACACTGAGCAGCAATAAGCTGTAGTCCCTGTAATGGAAGATAATTTATTTTCTATAAATTTAATAGATCCAATTAATTTTCTAATTACTGACATAGGATATTTAAAATTATGTTTTTTTCTCCCCAATTATCAATCCATGCTCTACAATATGGGCACGCAACAACAATAAAGAGAATCAGCTCAGCAGCCAAGAGTGTTTGGATGCTCTTTCCATCCTGGGACTTGTTATCTGTTTGTAACTCTAAAGCAAATGGTGCATTGATCGAAATTATTCCACAATGACTGTGACTTCCTTGCTGCCTTAGCATTTAGATTTTAATGAGTTTTTTTCACATTTTGTTGAAATATAATCAATTCCAGTAACAAGGGATATTTCAGAAAACCCAGACAATTGTAATATTGTATGGTACATATTTCACTCCAAATAATATTTCAGAAAATCCCAAACTGCACCCCCAGTGCATGGGCTACAACACCACAAACCCATGCAGGCCTCATTCCATCCAGCCATTGCTTTGGCTCAGATACCAGAAGACTTACAGCAACTCTTCTTCCTATATATCCTTCCAGAGTCCAAAGATTGAGGGTTCAAGTCTCATGTCGGAACTTTGAGCCCACACAGTCTAGGGTAACACTTCAGTGCAATACTGGAGGAGGGCTGCATTGTTGGAGGCGCGGTTCTTCAAATAAGACATTAAACCAAGGCCCCATCTGCCTGTTCAGCTGAACATCAAAGATCCCATGGGACTTCTCGAAAAGAGAAGAGTTTCTCATAGTGTCCTGGCTAACAAGCTCCAAACAAAATTAGTCACTCACTTCATAGCTGTTTGTCGGACACATTGGCTGCTGTATTTTCCAACAAAATACACAGTCACTATACTTAACAGTAAAATTCTTTGAAGTGCTTTGAGGCATCTCAATTATGTGATACAGGGCTATATCAAATGCAGGGATTATCATCATCATCGCTCAGTTTGACGTTGAGCAGTGAGTTTTCCAACTGAGCCAGCAGAAGGGGTATGTTTGTGCACTTCCATCAAAAGCTCATTTATTTTCATACTTGACAATGAATTGACAAATGTACCCTTGAGAATCAATAGAATAATTCATCTCTATAAATGTAAAAATGCTGCAAAGGAAAGGCTTGGATGGAATGAAATTGCTCATTAGCACACACTCAAGTTACCTGTCGCACCACCTCACTAAGTTTCACAAGTAGCGTGTCTACCTCTGAGCCGCCATCAGTAAACTCGTGGAGCTGGCACACAGCTGTCACATACTGGTAACAGGTTTTATCGAAGCTAAGCTGCAGTTCCTCGTGCTCCCTAACAACTAGTTCATAATCCTCCTCCACCCTCTCCTTCTCCATCTCGGTTTGCAGCCTTCTCTTCTCTGCCTCCGCTAATTTCTGCTCTAAGGCTTTCATGCTCTCCAAAAGAGTATGAAAGTCTTTAGCCAGGCCTTGCCGCATGCTCTCGGCATCCAAAGAGCTGATCCCGAGAGCCTGGTATTTAACCAGCACCCCTTCTTTCTTCCAAAGCTCAATTCTCAAAGCTTCAAGATTTTCAAGTAGATTTTGGTTTTTAGTCTTTAAGTTTTCAATGACCTGAAAAATAAAATCATTAAACACAGAAAGAACTAGCAACTGGGGTCTACGAGCAAATAAAAATCATCTATTGGGAGATCTTAATTTGCTTTAAATTATGGGAAAAAAGCACAACTTTCTGCACAACAATCAAATGTGGGTGGTATTCAATGAGTCTGAGGTAATACAACATGATCTTGCTCTGTGGGCTCTATCACAATCACTATCACAAGTGACACGATTGTCATATGAAATCCCATGGATTTTAAACATGAAACAAAACAATCCCAAGCATTAGTAATGGCTGCTTGGTAGATCACAGTGGTTGAGTCATTTCTGCCATGTGTAAAGTTGTTCAGTATTAGGTAAGCAATTTGGTCAAGTCTCCTTTCCAAAGGCTCAACTTTATGTAGCTTTCTATTTTGAGTGATTTTCAATGATCGATAAATAATTCAATGATTGATAGTTCATTAACTTAAACACAGGAAGATGCATGGAATCAACTGAAAAAACAATGGGCATTATCAAGCATTAACAGTTATTTGGTTAATACAAAGATGTTATCCATCATTCCTAACTTTAGAAACTTGGAAAAAAATCAACCACTAATCATAAATTGATTACTCAATATTGCTTTATTTAAACAAAATCTTATTGTAATTTAGGATATTGTTGTACTGAGAAGAAAATTGGCCTGAATAGGTTGCTGTGTAAGGGAGCAATGGCTATCTGAAATGAAATGAAATCCAGTCTATAAAATGCTTCATCCAGGATCAAACAAGAATGTTTCTGTATTACTCATAACACTCTTTCTACAGCAATCTAATAGGTTCAAGAAGCAGCATTGTCAGAACTAAAAACTTCATTCAACCTCATTCATTCTCTTTTTTCTTCAGCAACTAGGTTATGAAGTTAGTTCAGGGCTGAAGGAAGTTGCTGGTTGTTCTGTTGTGTATTCTACTGTAAAGCACACTATGGACATCTTGTGGTAAGAACCAAGTATTTCAACTGCACAAAGTATTTTTAGTCCCTAGATGCATAATAGCATTCTGGCATCAGAAATACAGTCATGGATTTAACATGATTTGACGTATATGAGCACTGATACAGGTGCATTTTATTTACTGTACTAATAGAAATTACATAGCGGAATAACAGGAATGCTGCAGCTTCCAACCTTACTCCTTAGCTTCCAGATTTCTAGCATCTGCAGTATTTGGTGTTTTGTTTACTCCTGAGCTGTTTTTTTCTAGCCACTAGATCTTAAATATGTGACGAGAAGACAAGTGTGTGAGTAAAACTATAACAAGAAACTGCAGAATTCTCTAAATTGCAGTTTGACATGATCAGAAATGGGAGTAAACATGGATAGTGTGTGGACGAAGCCTTTTATCTCACCTTCTGAGCAATCTCTTGATCTAGCTGTACTTCACCTGTCCTGAAGTGTAATTCACTCTCGTTCTAGAACAGAGAACAAACAGGGCTGCATGAGAGCAGGTAACATTTGTTTCTCTTGTGTCGTTAAAGTCATGAAAGGCAGTCCATATTGAAATATTGCTGTCAAGAATAATGGGTAAAAGCATCATCTGGGCCAGTACTAGTCCGTACAAGACCCAAAGGTTGCAAGTTCAACTCCCAGTCTGTGCTGAGTTGTTGATCTTAGCCAGGGCAGCAGTTGAGGTGCTACAATTGGCCTCAGTGCCCAGGGCTAAGGAGAGGATGACCATTGATTGTTATCCAGAGACCATTAATGGACAGTGTGCACACACACGCACACACACACACACGTGTGTGAGTATATATACATTCAAGGCCTGAAATTCCACCTAATTTTAACCTGCAGGTGCAGTCTCCTTGAAAATTTAAGAATGATGGAAAATGCTTAAGTTCGGTCTTGATTTGGTTTTCCTCAGGGCTTAAAGTAGCCCAGCTTCCAAATTAATACCCAATTTAAGAAATTTCAAGTTTTGCACGATTTTACATTTTAGGACAAAATGGTCTTACCAGTGAACACTAGGTAGAATTTCTGGTCTCGGTTGAGAACAGGGATGGGGCTCAATCCTGATGCCTCAAATCAGTCTAACAGCCTGAAGCACTCAGTGTCAAGGCTCAGGCACGGTCACTCGAGTGAGGTGCTGGAGGGTGATCTGTGTCTTTGAAGCCATTGAAGAATAAAGAACTCAAAAAATGGGATAGAGAAGTCGAGAAAATTGGAGCAGAAAAATTGTTAAGAAGAAACAAAATAAGATGACGGGAGTCTTTTGAAATGATGATTCTTCAGCAAGGAAGACATGACAAGCGGTGTTTTCTAACACTTAAGCTTATTTCCAATTATTGCCTCTTGCTGATGTCTGTGCCAGTGCTTACAACAACAACAACAACTTGGATTTATATGGAGCCCTTCACGCTGGACAGCATCTCAGAGCGCTTCAAAATAATGGATACCGGGGCAGAGCCAGGGGGAGGGGGAGGAAGGTGATCAAAGGCCCTGTCGAAAAGAAAGGTCTTTAGCCGAGACCTGAAAATAGGAAGCGAGGGGATGAGGCGAAGGGAGTGAGGAAGGGAGTTCCAGAGCCTCGGGCCGTAGTAGCTGAAGACAGGGCTGCCGATGGTGGAGCGGAGGATTCGGGGGACAAGGAGGAGGCCAGACCCGGTGGAGTGAAGAAAATGGGCACTTTTATGAGGAAAGAGGTCAAAGAGGTAGGGGAGTGCAGAGGAGTGGAGGGATTTGAAGACAAGAGTGAGGATTTTGATGTCGATCCTCTCTGGGACAGGCAGCCAGTGCAGTCTGGCAAGGACTGGGGTAATCGGGGAGCGGAGTTTGGTACAAGTAAGAATGCGGGCGGCAGAGTTTTGGATGACCTGGATTTTATGAATGGTAGTGGAGGGGAGACCGGCGAGGAGGGCATTTGAATAGTCCAGCCGAGAGGTGACAAAAGCATGGACCAGGGTTTCGGTGGCTTTTGGGGTGAGATATTGGCAGAGACGAGTGATGCATTGGAGATGGAAGAAAACGGTGCTGGTGAGGGACCGGATGTGGGGGAGGAAGGATAATTGAGGGTTGAACCTGACGCCTATGTTGCGTATGGGTTCAGAGAGTTTTCGGGGAGGTCGGGTAGGTGGAGGAGGTGAGAACTGTGCAATTTAAGACGTTGACGAGAGCCAAAGGGTATGGTTTCCATCTTGTCAACATTTAGCTGAAGGAAATTCATGCTCATCCAGCTCTTGATGTCTGACAGGCAGGCTGACAGAACATCAGGGGAGTGGGGATCGCAAAGTGAGGTGGAAAAATAGAGTTGGGTGTCATCTGCATACATGTGGAGTCCTGTAGCTCAGTGGTTAGAGCACTCGCTTTGCAAGTGGGAGACCTGAGTTCAATTCCAGACAGGGCGAAACCTTGGGCAAGTTTCCTTACTCCACACAGAGCCTAATAATAATCCCTCCAAAACCAAAAACAATAATAAATTGGTCATTATCAATCTATGACTGTTTGTGGGACATTGCTGTGCGCGAGGCTGCCGCGTTCGCCCACAAATATACAGTCAATTCACCTTACAGTGTGTTCTGTGAAGCGCTTTGGGATGTCCTCCCGACGTGAAAAGCACTATATCAAATGCAAGGATTATTATTATTATTATTATGTGGAAGTGTACCCCATGTCTGCTTACCAGTGCGCTTTCAAATGGTTGGCACCTCTCCTCCACTAAAAGTTTCAATTTTTCATTCTCTTCCAGCACTTCCCTCAGGTATTCTTCCCTCTCCTGTTTGTCTTCCAGCTCTGCTGTGAGCTTGCGTCTCTCCCTCTCCAGATCCTCCACCTTTTCTTGTAGGCTGCCCTCCGACAGCTTCAGCTGGTGGACCCACGAGCGCAAGTCCTCCAGCTTGTGGCCGAGGAAGTCCTCGTTGTCCTCCACCTGCTGGAAGCTGTGGCGGAGCTGCTCCTTCTCCTGGTTACCGGCCTCTTCCCTCTCCAGCAGCTTCTTCAGGTCTTGCTCAAGCATCTCAATGTGGTTCTTGACGTCGTCCACTCCATCCATCGGAAAGTTTCCTTCCTCAGGGAGTTCAGTGGCGGGCACTGAGGCACCTCCCCACGGGGAGCTCGCTTGCTCCTGCTCTGCGGCCTTTACTGTGGCCTTTTGCAGCTCAGTTCTCAGCACAGCATGGGTGGCTTTGCCCTCGATCATTCCTCGCTCCAGCTCGTAAACCCGGTTCTGCAGCCAGTGCTCGCGTTCCCTCAGCTCTGCCAGCTGCTGTCGCTGCTTCTGTTTGTGATGTTCAAAGTACTCGTACTGCTTCTTCACCTCCTCCTCTTTCATCCTCAGCTGGTTCTCTGAATGCCACCGATTCCTCCTCACCACCACATCTGCTCTCTCCTGTTCTGTAAGCTTCAAAGAAATGGTGAAGTTGTATATAATGTGGTCTAAAACGCGACGGTTTCAAGCAACCTTCCTGGTTTGGGGAAAGACGTTCCAAATATAGTATGAAGAGTTTTATCAGTACACAATAAAAGCCTACCACACTCCCCCAATGCACGTAGAGTCCGACTGTCACTCCTCTACCGTACACACAGAGTCTAACTGTCAGAGGATCGAGTTCAAATTCCTCGTCCTTGCTTTCAAAACCCTCCCTTGCTCCTCCCTACCTCTGTGACCTGCTAACCCCATACCGGCCTGTACGCTCCTTCCGCTTAATGGACTCTGGCCTACTCCACATCGCCCGCCTGGCCTGCCCCACCATCGACGGTCGGGCCTTCAACCTTTCTGCCCCCACCCTTTGGAACTCCATCCCACAGTCCCCTTGCCTCAGCCCCTCCCTTGCCCCCTTCAAGGCCCGTCTCAAGACCTTCCTCTTCGACCGTGCTTTCGTTCACCCTTCTTCCATCCTCCCTGCCCTCCACCCCTCCTGATGCCAACCACCAGCTCAGGTTCACCCCTTGACTGTCCAGCACTTTGGGACTTCCTCCCGATGTGAAAGCCACTATACAAATGTAATTTGTTGTTGTTGTTGGCAGTGTCACATTCCCCTACTGTACACACAGTCTCACTGTCAGTGTCACATTTGCCTACAAAAGCAGAAACTATATATGAGAGTAATTAATGTGAATCACCTTGAGAGAAGGGAATAGAGGGCTGTGGGAGAGAGTATTAAGATGGGTGGGGGCCTCACTTGGAGTACAAACACCAGCGCCGAATGGCCTATTTCCATGCTGGAACATTCTACATAATTCTATGCTGAGACGTTTATTGTGCTAAAGTTTTTTCCATGCCTGGTGGCGTCTTCAGTGCAAGTTGTAGTTACACTGAACACACCACCAGGTGTCAATCCTGTGAATAAAATCAAATGTGAAGAGCCTTTTACCTGAGAATAAAATGGATTCCATGTCAGTTTTTTTTAAAAACTTTCAAAGCCTAGTTTGGTCTTGAACAGTTGTTTTAGTTCCTTTATTTTAAATACTTCACCCATTCCTTGCTTTGCTAGGGTAAGCTGATGCTTTTTTTTGTCAGTGAGATGATTTAGCCCAGCACAATGAGATAATACATACAGTGCACAATACGATTAGATTAGCTAAGTAGTGATAGTAACCCATCCAAGGTTTCATTAGTCAACACAAACCCGTCACCACTCCTCTGACACAAGCAACAACAACAACTTGCATTTATATAGCGCACCTCACGCAAGAATGCATCCCAGAATGCTTAAACACTCAGAAGCACTCATCTTAGCAGTACTTTACAAAAGGCTTCTAACATCATGCCTTGGGATGTCCTATCGACGTGAAAGCTATATAAATTATTGTTGTGTATTTAAATAGCAACATTCACTCACTTCATTCAAAGCGTTGAACTACAGACACCACTCAGGAGAGCTATAGATAAGAAATTAGTCGAGGTGTTTAAAAATAATCAATGCATTTAAGAAAGATGGATAGAAACTTGAGGAGTAAAAATATTAAAGGGTATGCTGTAGGTTATATTACATTAGCCCTGGTTTGGAAGTCGCGATGTTTCAGTATCACATAGAATCTATTAAGAAACAATGCATTTTTCACTCCCATCAATCTTTGGAGTGTTCATCGCATTAACTAACAGTGAAAACTGTTTCTGAAGTAGGATAATGGTTAAAACAATGATTGGAAATGCATCAACTTGAAAACAAAGCTTTTGTCAGAATGGGACACCCATCGAGGACTGAGATACCAACGCCTCTTTGCCATCTGGTCGAATGTCCGACCAAGATTACTTCAGGTGACTGTGATTTCAGGGAAGGAAACGATTGAAAATGAAGTTCTTACCACAGCTGTCAGAGTTCGCTCTGAAACCTGCAGACCTCGGAGCTTTCCTGCCAGATGGGGCTCGCTGATCTCTGGCTGTAGGGACTTGGAATTCAGCTCATCTATTTTACTCAATAGCTGCTTCTCAGACCTCTCCAAGTCTTGAATTCTAAACAGTTCAATAAAAGTTACCACAAGCATTCCAGCAAGATGGAGGAGAATGGTTTGATGAGGGATTCAGTAGCTCTCAGTGCTGAGCAAAGTTGTATACCTTTACACTGTGCCAACATTAATGGGGTCCAATTTTGTGTGATTCGCAAACTGGATTTGTTGTGTTAATTGCGACCTGTGGTTTGCAATTCATGAATTTGACATTTCAACATTAATACATAACTTTGTATCCCAAACAACATCAAAATGACCAGCACTTTTGCGTTCTGTTTCTTTTTCTTTGCTGAAATAAGAGCCAGTCTCTGTGTGAAGAAATGCTCCTGACCTCAGTTCTAACTATCTTCCCCTTCATAATAAATCCCTCTACCAGAGGGAAGAATCATTCACTATTTAACCTGTTGATTCCTTATTACCTCTAATTAGTTCAATCTTATTATAGATTACAATTTATATTTTTGTGGAATCCTGTAGCTCAGTGGTTAGACCCCTCGCCTCTCAAGCGAGAGACCTGGGTTCAATTCCCGGCAGGGCGAAACCTTGGGCTAGTTTCATTACTCCACACGCCTAATAATAATCCCTCAGGAAAAAAAACAATAATAAATTGGTCACTTCAATCCATGACTGTTTGTGGAACACTGCTGTGCCCATTTGGCTGCCGTGTTTCGCCCACAAATATACAGTTAATTCATTTTACATTATATTGTGTGAAGCGTTTTGAGACGTCTTGAAGACGTGAAAAGCGCGATATCAAATGCAATATTATTATTATTATATAGCGCCAGTAGGACATCTTATTGACTTAATTTATAACCTTTCCCTTCAGAAGTGTTCCTGAACTGAACAGACAATCCCCACAAAGCCAGTTTTTGTGAGGCATCTGAGGCTGGGTGCTTTTCCAAGGAACAGAAGTGAAAATTGAACAAGTTTTTTTTTACACTCTTTCATTTCGATTTTTCTCACTTTCATTCCTCTTCCCCAGGTATTACTGCTACCTGTAGCAGAAGCTCTCAATAGTTAAGAAAGGGCCCCTGTATGGTCGTAGTACCCTCTTCATTCTACAGGTAATTTGGTTTTGCTGAAAATCCAGAATACATTAATTTGAACTATTTTCTAAAAAATTTTTTAAAAAATGATTGTAAGCAGGTTAGAAGCAACAGGTTGTACAGCCTGGGTTTCACCTTAGTCTGTATGAATTTACATATGATGCTTGTGTGAACTCTTTAAATAACCCAGAAATATTCTATTAATGCTTCCCTTCATTTCAATGAATTATTGAGTGCAGCACAGTATGACCTACATGAACGTCTGTATTACCCCGGGTAAGTACTTGTGGGCAATCGGCAGGCATTCTCAAACTGGTACTATTACCTGACATAAAACTGCTGGATGCTAATTGTTGTTCACTGTCTGGTATTTAGATCAATTACTATGCCTGGTGTCTGGTAATGGAAAAAAGAGTGATAAGAGACTTAATCTGATAATAAGATATTTGTCCCTTTCCTTCTAAGCGCACTTCTTGTAACCAGTCATAAATTGCCAAACGCTCCCCAAGTCAGTGTCTCTGTGTAATCACATTAATAATCCTTATTTTTAATATAATGCCTTTCATGTTTCAAAGTGCTTCACGGGAATTCACTGTAAAGTGAGGTGACTGTATTTTTTGTAGCAAGCCATGCAGCCAACTTGTGCATAGCAATGTCCCGCAAGCAGACATGAAGTCAATGATTAATTTTATCCGGGAATTATCAAAACGCCGAGACAAACTCCCTTCTCTTTTTGAGTCATGCCATACAATCTTTGACGTCCTCCTGCAAAGGCAGCTGGCACTTCGTTTCAACATCTCATCTGAAGGACAGCACCTCAGGCAATGAATCAGACCCCCACAATGAACTAGAGTGTCAGCCTTAACTGTGAGTTCAAAGTCCCGACATGGGGCTTGAACGCACAACCCTCTGCCTCAAAGTCAAAAATGCTACCAATTGAGCCAGGCTGACATCTGACATTTAACAATCCAATAACATCTCAATTGCAACACGTGATTATGTTATACAGTTTGTGTCCATTTCGAAACAGATGAAAGTGTACAGTTTCTTTACCTGTTTTGTAAAGCAGCCTCTGCTTTTATGAAGTTGCTGATAGTTTTTTTCAGCGTTCTCTCAGACTGCACGCACTCATCCAGCCTCTGCCTCAGGGTGTCAAGCTCGCTCTGAGTTGCCTGGCTTGCCCGTTCACTCTTTGCCTCCTCCAGGTCCTGCGAAGTCCAGGAGGTACCAATGGTCACATTAACATTTAGGACATCGAGCCCTTCCCTACTAGGTGAGGAAACGTGGTAACTGATCTCCTTCTCTCGGTCAACAGAGGACTCCATTTATAGAAAAGGGAAATTTGGGATCAAGAACACTGTGGAACGTGCTCCAGCTGGGAACTCTTCAGCCTCTAAATAAAGGCTTGCCTTTTAGGTTGGCTCAACGCAGGTTACTACTTTCTGCTGTCGACCTGCTGCTCAAATGACAGGCTCTTCGGTATAGTGGGAAAGATGCACTGACTTATTCATGATTGGGAAGAGAAGTGCTGCCTGTTTTATTCAACAAACAGGTATGCAATATTAACAGACTCCAACAACGACACCACATGAAAGGTCCTAAACATTAGCATTAGCCTTCCAGAACTCAACATAGCATAACGTTCCACATTAAATATTTAATGTCTAATTTTCATTCATCGCGTCGCTCTGAAATGTTTTTGTCGTTGAGGGGTAATCAAAACCTCAAGCTTGTTTCAGAGCTTAGGTTCACTCTGTCAGGCCTTACCTAACCTAGGGGCAAGGAGCACAGTTTTAATGTTACATTACAGGAGGAAATAATCTAGTATTGACCCTTGGGCCTTCGGCCACCCTCCTAGCCCCATGCCCTCCAAGCTCAGTAATCCCGACCCCCAGCCTGGGTCCAAATCCCTGACTGTCCAGCACCTTGGGACTTCCTCCCAACATGAAAGGCGCTATACAAGTGTAATGTTGTATTGTATTGGGCAACAGTTTGTTTTGAATGTCCATACAAAAAATACGCAGAAGCCCATTGACCCAAGACAATATTTCCAAGCAATCGCAGCAAACACTATTTAAATTTCAATCTTTTGGTTTTACTGCATGGTTTAACATTACTATATTCATATTAATCAATATAATAAACCTTAGGCAAGTTTCCTTACTCCTCACGTCTCTGTTTGCCTAGCAGTAAGTAGGAACCCGGTTGTTAGTCAATCGGCAGATCGCTTTCTGTGAGTAATCGCTTTCCGGGGGTCATTCAATCCACAACTGTTTGTGGGATATTGCTGAGCCTAATTCGCTGCTGCATTTCACCCACAAAATATATAGTCACTACACTTTACAGTATATTCTGTGAAGTGCTTTGTGATATCTCAACGACGTGATGAAGTGCGATATCAAATGCAAGTATTATTATTCATTATTATGTTATATATATTAATTAATGTAATATTAATCCTTCAATTTGATGTTGTAACATCAAAATATCTCAAAGCATTTAATTGGGGATTTCTATCTACTGTGGTATTTTGCAAGCAAATGTAGCAGCCTATTTGAACACAGGAATGTCCTGCAAACAGGCATGAAGTGAATGATCAAATAATCTGGGGGATTGTTGGCCAGTAGAAAAACAACTCTTCTTTATTTGAATAGTGCCATTGAATCTTTAACACCCATCTGAACTTTTCAAGAGGGATATTGACAGATATACGGAGAATACAAGCTTGAAGGTGTGTGGGAATAAGACAGGGAGGGCAGTGGGACTGAATGACCACCTTGCTCTGAGAGCTGGTGCAGACTCAATGAGCTGAATGGCCTTCTTCTGTGCAGTAAATTTCTATGATGCTATAATTCTGTGATAACTGATAGCATTTAGATCATGTTTATGTTTAACAAAAATAAAGATACTGCATTTTGCGCATACCTTTTTGAAACCCTGAATCCTTGTCTGCAACTCTAACCACTTTTCTTGCCACTTCTTTACAGCTGTCTCTTTGTTTTGCAACTCGTGCTTTAATGAAGCAGAGAGATGCCGCTCCTCTTGAATCATTGTCTCTAAAGATGTGATCAACTGAGATTTCTGCGACAGGTGAGTTTCCAACACTCTCCTCTCTTGTTCACTGGCGGTTTTGACTTTTTTCACTTCACGCTCTCTGCCGTCCAGTATTTCCTCGAGTTGTTTCCTCAGGTGCTTGTTGCTTTCCTCATAAGCCTCCAACTCTTTTGTTCTCTTCTTCAAATGGGTTTCTAGGCTTGCATTTCCTGCCTGGCAAACGGATTCTTTAAACACTAGCTCTTCGATCTTCTTGTTAAGTTCTGCCATTAAATGTTTTTCTTCCTTCTGCGAGAAGTCAAGTTCATCAAATTCATGAGATTTATTTTCAAGTTGCACCTCGAGGTTGCTTTTGGCTGCTTCCAACTCATTTATCCTGTCTTTCTGACATTGTAGTTCATTTCTCATTTCCCGTTCGCTTTTCTCAAGGTCACAGCCCTTGACTTTCCATTGGTGTAGCTCCTCGCTCAGTCGACGCTGCTTGAGACCTAGCTCTTCATTACGCTCTGCCAGCCTTCTCTGAGTCTCTGCCATCTCTTTCAGCAAAGACACCTGCTTGACAATTCTCACTTGCAGTTTCTCCTCGGTCTCTTCTTTCATTGTCAGCAGCTTTTCCATTCGAGCTATCTTGTCCTGTAGGACCTTAGACTCGCCTTCCTGCATATCTTGCAGTAACTCTTCCATCATCTTGTTCCTCTCCAGGAGCTTCCTTTCAGACTCTTTACGTTGTCTAAGTTGCTCTTGCAGTTCACCAATCTCTTCGTTCCGACTTTCAATCTCATCTGTAAGTTTTTCCAATTCTCTGCTTTTTTCGCTCAATTCCATTTCAAACCTGCTGGTCATCTTTACAATGGATCCTGCCTTGACCAGTTCAGCCTCTGTCATCCTGCTTAGCTCTTCCTCAAGTTTCATCTTCTCCTTGAGAATCTCTGGAGGAATCTTTTGGCTTTCATGAAGCAGGTGTTCTGCATCCTTGCCACTCTTCTTGAGTTCTTCAATCGCCTGCATGCTTCTTTCTAAAGTTTCGCCTTTCTCCTCAAGCCGTTTGCGAAGCCTCTTAATTTTAGTATTTAGCTTACCCTCTACTCTTTTAAACTGCTCCCTTAATTGTTGCTCAAAGTGTTCCCAATCTCGGACAGTTTGCTCTAGATCTGAAAATTGCTTTTTTATTTTCACTTCTCTATGTATACCCTCCTCCAAGTCAATCTTTAATTGGTCAATCTTAGCTTCAAGACAGTTTCTGGTTTCTTCCATTTCCCTTGTCTTCCTCGACAAGTCTTTATTAATCATCTCAAGCTGGGCATAAGCTTCATCCCTCTCCTTGATCTCATCGAGGAGCATCTTCATTTGTTCTTGGTTCTCTTCCTCCAAATCTTCCCTCTCTTTTTGCATCTTCTCCACTTGACTGTACCTCTCCTCCAGTTTCATTTCAATGTCTTCCTTCTGCTTTGTTAACTGGTCCAATTTGGCACAACGCAGGTTAAGCAGCCTCTCGTTCTCCTTCTTCTGCAAAAGCTGGCTTTCCAGTTCTTTTGATGCTTCTATCAGTTCCTTTTCACTCATTTCTTTAATCCTTAAAAGTCCTTCTAGATTCTTGACTCTTTGAAGTAGCTCTGGTTTGGCAGTGCCACCATTACCTTCAGTCTCCTCCTCACTGCTGTGAGAATCAAGTGACTCCAGTTCCCTCACAGAGGCCAGTTTGTCTTTCAGGGCATCATAATCAAAATGTACTTGCTGATATGACCGTTCCATTTCACTGAGCTTTTTCCTCAAGCTCCTCGACTCTTCAGTCCTTTCTTCCACTATAACCTCACATCCCCTCAATTTCTCTTCCAAAATCTTGCGATCATGAAGATCTTGATTTGCTTGGAATTTGGTTCCTCTTAAAGATTGGAAATTCTGGAATTGAAAAATATGGTCTTCAAGTTCTGCTGTTCTGTCATTCCTCAGCTTGTTTTCTGTATTTACTTCTATCGGTTGCGCTTGTAAAGATTTGATATTTAAATTTGCAGTGATTTTTTCTGGAAAAGACGCTAAGTCTTTTTTTCTCTTTTGTTGTGTGGGATTCTGCTCTGCTCCGAGTTTCACCCCTGTCACATGCAGTTCCTGTGACTTTACCCTACTCTTTGTACCAGTAGCTTGTTTTTTTCCCTGGTCGCTTTGCTTTTTTGTGAGTTTGTCCTCCATCATTTCTGAATCACAGACATTTGGGATTTGCATCTAATTTATTGGTTGAAGTCAATTGTATATTGGAATCATCCTCCACGTCAGTGAGTAGATGCTTTGGAAAAATGTGACTGGCATCCTCCAGCTTGAATTCAGATGTGTGAGTATGTATATTTTCTGCTCGTGTTCATTTTTGTCTTTAGCGGAAGCTATGAATTTAGTCAATGCCTCCTCCTCAATGTAATCATTTTGCTTTGTACACTTTGAAATTTGCTCTGTCAGCTCAGCTTTATCTTTAGTTATCTCTCTTGCAGCCTAGTGAGAAGTAAGGGGTGGAAAATCACAAGTAAAAGGTCACAAGACAGGTCCGAAAGAAAAAGCCCCTTTGGGTCACTTGATCTTACCATTCCCACCCACCTTTCCATCATCCCGCTGCAGCATTCAAGCAGTGTCTTACAGGGAGTTCATGTCTTCACAGATTACAAACCTCTAAGTAATAATAATAAAATAATAATCCTTATATTGGGTATAGCCCCTCTCAAGTCAGGAGGACAATTCAAAGCACTTCACAGGGTGTACCATAATGTGCAGTGATTGTGTGTTTTGTGGGCAAAAGCGACAGCCAATCTGTGTGCAGCATTGTCTCACAAAAGGCCAAGAAGTGAGTGACCACTTTTTATTTGGGAGGATTGTTGGCCAGGAAACTGGGAGAAATTCCCTTTTCGCTTAAGTAAGGATCACAAACCTCTACAATACATGAGCTTGTTTAGTTGACCAGATTAAATCAGACTAGGGGCATGTGCCAGTCTAACTTATTGTACAGTCCCAGCACTCAGCAGCAATATTTTACCAAGTTGTGTCCTTAGTCATGTACTGTGTGGACCGTTTGAAAGCAGGGTTAGTTGAATGCAATAAGAGTGCACAGTGGTGCAAACCAATTTGGTGAGTCAGCCAAACAGAGCTTATTAAGGCACCAGACTGATGCACAGTACATGGCTCACTTTCAGTGCATACAACATATATGAGCTGTACAGCCCCTGGTAGATTCTTCTTCAGCACCAGTCACAGTTGTTTAATAGACGAGAAGCTTGCACTTACCTGCGTCTCAGGAGATGGTCTCTCAGGGCCAGAGAATAAAGGCTAAGGAAAAAAACAGGAACAAAAACAAAAACTAAAAGTATAAAATAAAACATAACATAAAGGAGACAAACAAAATAAGCAGGAGAAGGGAAGAGAGAGAGAAAAACAAGTTTAAAGAGGATAAAAATGTTAGTACAAAGTGAAAGTTTGTGCTACTGTAATGATTTTACTGATTTGAATACTAAAAGGAAGTACTGTACTGCAATAAGTTCAGTTGCTTATTGCAATTGTACCAGTGATGAACATTTTAAAGCATGCAAATGATTTTGTAATGCTCACAGCTGAGAGCTTACATTGGCACAGTCAAACATCTCACCTTTTCTTCTATCTCTTTGATTTGTCTTTTCTGAAATTCTATTTTGTCTTCTAGCTCTCGAATTCTCTGCAAAGCAAAGAGGCCACAAACTGTTAAACACTAAGCAAAGGTGGGCATCAAAATGATCGTCTGTTCATTTTCAAGCATCCACAATTTGAAAAAAGATTATAATATTGGTAGATTTTTCATCCTTTTCTCAGCACAGCCGAGTAGTCAGCGATTTTCTTAATGGAAGTGCTAACCAGCAAACACGGTTGATCTTTCTACCTGAATAACGGTAGATGCAGAGCTATTCACACAACAAGCGGTACAGCCATTTGGTACTTATTAAAAGAACTGCACTTGACTACTGTTAAATAGGCTTAGGGAATTGTAAATCCTTGTCCTTTTATAAAACTTTGAAAAAGCACACATTTCAATATTGACCGGTTATTTAGGATTAACAAATTGTACCTGCTCCCAAGAAAACGTGCATTAATACGGAGCTACAACATGCACACGAGAGCCACAGAGAAAAGCAGATACAGCAAGGCAACGCTGGTGAGCGATTGGGCTATGTTTCGTACTGTGCTTAAAAATGGAGATTAAAAGTCTGCTTGATAATCCGTTTTGAGGACAAAGGCCAATGTTCCCAGCAGCTGCTTAGTTACTGGCTATTCGAGTGTTAAAACACAAACAGATTGCCCCTGGGATTGATGCTCGTTCTGTTTTTTGTTTCATTTTCTCATTTCAGAGAAATGCATCCTGACCTTGAGAAAAAAATCAGTACAAACCCATGACGCTTTATACTGTAAATTGTCCTGAGAAGCACTCTCGATGTTGTATGGTTTTAAAACAATAAAAATACTAATTTGTAAGAGATAAACATGATACTATTTTTCTAAAAGGTGTGTATTGGGAAAGGGTGCAAAATAATAATAATAATTGCATTTGATATAGGGCTTTATTACATTGTCACGACATCTTAAAGCACTTCACCGAATATACTCTAAAATGAATTGACTGCATTTTTGTGATTGCAGGCAAATGACTTGCTTTCAGCTTTCCATGCACTAAATCAAATGCTGAGTTAGTCATAATGATATATTCTCCAGGCAGACGGGGGATAGTGCAGTTAGATTCAAGAAGGCATTGGAGGGATTTTTTGAGCATGAAGAGCGATACGTGAGACCAGCTGAGTGAACTGTTAATACTCTTTTTCTCTGGTCTTACACATTCCCATCACAGGTCAGTGATTTTCGGTAAGCAGTCGGAAAGGCAAGAAAAGTGAGGGTTAAAAAAGAATAATCCTAATAATCCTTGCATTTGATATAGCACTTTTCACGTCGGGAGGACGTCCCAAAGCGCTTCACAGAACACACTGTAGAGTGAATTGACTGTATATTTGTGGGCGAATCTGCTGAGAGTTGATTGAGTGCAGTGTTGTAGCTGTGACAGTGAGTGGTAGAACACAGGTTTCTGCTTGTGATTCCCTAACTTGCCAACTAGACTCAGCTGTGCCATTGTCGACTGGGGTTTCGAGGAAGTCAGGCCTGCCCCACAAAGAACCTGAAAGGCTCAGATCCCACATTGCTATCACATAATAATCATCCTGCCATTAATATAGCACCTTTCTCATCAAGAGGATGATTCACAAGATTTATTGTAAGGCGCAGTGACTGTGTGTTTTGTGGGCCAATCTGTGCACAGCAAGATACCACAACACAAAGTGATTGACCAATTTTATTTAGGCCGATGAGGAAGTGACATTTTCTATGGATTTTCCTGGCCTGTGAAGAAGTTAAAATTTGTATTACAAATGAAGATGGTAAAACAGCACGGTTGCATGTGGTTGTGAAAATGTGCATACACTTTCCTGGATAATCATGCAGACAAAATCAGTTGGGATGTTTACAAGTGAGTTAGATCGGTGATAATATGGGTATCAAATATTGAGAAAAGGTAGGGAAATGGGACTAAAGGAATCAGTAAGTATTGATGCATTTAAGCAGAAGATAGATAGACATAGTAATAATAATCCTTGCATTTGATATAGCGCTTTTCACGTCGGGAGGACGTCCCAAAGTGCTTCACAGAACACACTGTAAAGTGAATTGACTGTATATTTGTGGGCGAACGCGGCAGCCAATTGCGCACAGCAATGTCCCACAAACAGTCGTGGATTGAAGATGACCAATTTATTATTGTTTTTTTTTGAGGGATTATTATTAGGCGTGTGGAGTAAGGAAACTTGCCCAAGGTTTCGCCCTACCTGGTATTGAACTCAGGTCTCTCACTTGCAAAGCAAGTGCTCTAACCACTGAGCTACAGGACTCCACAAAGGTAGCTATATAGGGAGAAAGGAATAGAAGGTAGGGGAGGGAGCAAGGCGTGGGTGGAGACTCATGTGGAATAATAAACTCGGCACAGACTAATGGGGCCAAATGGTCTGCTTCCGTGCTGTACATTCTACATAAATCTGAGTCATGTCAGTGGTCCTGAAGGACATGTGAATGGAGAGAACTGTGGAAAAAGGTGAAGGAGAGACGGTCTTTGGGCAAATGTTCAAGAACACAGAATACCTTGTGCATGACTAACCCAGACCTTGTCAGTAGTTTAAGTGGAGAATTATCTCTAGAAATCATCACCAGTGTTCAGAGACAGAAGCAACAACTTGCACTTATATAGAGCCTTTCCCATAGGAAAGCATCTCAAAGAGACTTACATGGGATTCCCTGCAGAGAATGCAGCTACAAAATGCAAAGTATTTGGTCCAGCGATATTAGCACTTTCCTGAGAAGCACTTTCTCAAACCTCATTGACCAGCCTCCTAACCACTCTCCCCTAAATGATGTCCTGATTTGCTTCAATAGAGGCTCTGATGTATCTCTTCAGTCTTCTGAATGTTGTCATTAATCTCATTTGGAGGCCGGTGATGCATTATTAACACGACCTGCTCTGTATCGCATAGCACAGCCATAACTCTTTCTTAATCAATAGCATTTGTTAGACAGCTCTCTCGGTGTATTCCTGGTCTCTGCCTGGTTCAATTGAACAACAATTTCAATAACATTCATGAACTTTCTTCTTCATTTCTTTCGCCTGTTCTACGATGAGCTTCTGAAAACACAAGTTACCTCCAGGGCTACAAACAACTAAGATGAATAGGAGGCTATCTAAAGTAAACAGATTCCAAAGCATTTATTTCTCCCATTTCCTGATGTCTTTTGTTAATTACAGTGAGTTGACTTAATCTTTCTTCATTATTGGGTCTTCAGTCTAAATTACGCTCTCAGTTACATGTACAATTTCACATGACTGACAAATTCAATAAAAGGGTTTCATTAAGATGTAAAACCCTTCCTCCTTCGAATTTGCATGAGGCTTAAAGCAGAATTAAGATGATGATCCATACATTTGAAAGGAAAAAAAACTCATCATTCCATAGCCAGTCGTTCATCTGATTTGCTTGACTTCTTTAGCTTTTCTGATTTTTTCCGACATTTAATTAAGTGTTTTACAGCACTTTATTACACTGAAACATCTAAAAATGTTTATAGTAATTAACTTAGGCAAATGTGGCAGCCAATTTGGGCCTTCAGGGTCCCAAAACAGTCATAAAGCGAATGATTAATTAATCCAGAAACATTTTGGCCCGGATTCCAAGAGAAATTTGCTTCCCTTTTTGCAAATTGTCATAAGAATTTTAAAGTCCATTTCAACAGGTAGACAGGACCATGGTTTAACATCTCCTCTGAGGGATGGCATATTTGACAATGCAGTGCTGGATTTCACATTAGGACGTTGAAATCCAAATTTAGGGCTTGAACCCACAACCTGTTAACGTACAAGAGTCCTACCAATTGAGTTAAACTGACAGGTGACTTCAGTGAGTGAAGATAGTGAGGTCCTGATGGAGGCTGCTGTGCAACTAGAATGCATTGCCTAAAAGGGTGGTGGAATCCAATTCGATAACTTTTAAGAGAGAAGTAGATAATTATTTGGGGAAGACAAGTTTGCAGGGCTAAGGGGAGAGAGGGATTGAATTGAATAGCTCTTTTTCCAAGTGCCGGCACAGACACGATGCGCTGAATGGCCTCCTTCTGTACTGTATAATTCTATGATTCTATGATTACACAGTGACGAGCTGTTCCTGGCTGCCGAGATGCCTTTTATATGGTTTGGTGTTTTTCAACCACAGTGTTTTTTTAAGTGTACTTTTCCTTTGGTTGGTTACCAGTGCTAGAATTGATGTGTTACTGTTACCAGCGAGAGCAATGAGCAGAGGCGTCCAGCTCATTCGTGTGATGAGTAGGTAATGGCGTTGTCAGCACTCTGACACTGTGCACGATTGCTAAGTGTGAATAATTCAGCTGATTTATCCTTCAAAAGCTTCCTTTGTGACCACTTTAAATTCAAAGCATGTGCTTGGGATCAACAACTAGTTTGGAAAAGCTTGGTCACCACTTTATTAGCACTGAGGGATAAGCCAGTTCAGCCAAATAATCTTTTTTCACACAAAAAATATCTGGTAGCTGGAAGAGATTTTAATTCTTTCACAGTTTGCATTTACAAGAGAGCAAGAGTATCAATTTTGCTGCATCTATCCCAACCCCAACTCCTACACACATAATACAGTAAGGTTCTATCACAGTTAGAACTTAGTTCACATTGTTTCCTACACACAATTATTTTGTTCCCTGGACTTCAAGAATATGAAACTCTCTGCCTCCCTCGTCTTCCCTGGCATCTCCAAACCACTCATGATCTGATACTTAGTTCTCTCTCCCACTGTTTTCAATTTCACAAGAAAAGTTCCACGAAAAGGGTTCAAAGTCCAGGGACAAGGATGATTCCAGGCTTAAAGCTTCGAGCAGAGGTGAAAAGAGCTAAACTTGCTGTCGCTGGGGAAAAGATTAAAGGAGACATGATGCGGGTATTTAAAATACTAAGAGATTTTGTAGATGTAAATCGACATTTAGACTTACCAGACGTAAGCGCTTTGGGACATCCTCCTGATGTGAAAGGCGCTCTATAAATGTAATCTTGTTGTTATTGTAAGAGAGATAGAGCAGTGTAGGGCTATT